CATAGTGATTCCAAATTTCCTCGGAGAAAAGAGTCCTGGCGACTGGATGGAGAGATAGTGTGCCAGGTGGCAAGAATAGGAGAAACATCAATTGGCTGAAAGTTGTCTAAATCTGGTGACGAGATGATTTCTGTTCTTCAAAAAATGAATTTAGTGGTCTCCTCCTGGGGATTTAGATTTACCATCCATCGGAAGAGTTCGGTAGACTTTACAAAGGTAAACTTCCCAATAATGATATATATTGGTACTAGGGTTTTATTTCACTCACCGGGATAAAGTGGTTACAACCTCTTAATAATAACATACATTGATGTTGAAATTAGATGTCACTATTGGGAGTTGCGTGATGTTAATATAACCTCTTAGCAGTAACCTACATTGCCGATGTAACATTGGTGTTAGGGTTAGATGTCACAATTGGGAAATGTCCAAAAAAAAATAAACTCATAGCTTTCTTTTCGTGCATTACATAAATCCTAGTACACTATGTAAATGTGTTGTTTGGTTTCTAAATCGTTTTCATTTGCACATTTATATTGTTCATGATGATTTATCTAGATATTATAATTCCGTTTGAATACAGATTAATACAAAAAATCTTAATGAAACAACTGATGATAATATATGTAGCAAATTATTGTATTGAAGTCCAAAAAGAGTGAATTGTTGAAATATAACTTTAAATAAATTTATGTCATATTTTTGTAATCTTATAACTATGTATTATGATCATGATACGATATAAGTTTTAAATTAAAAATTATCAAAATTGAATAATATCATGTCACTATTGAGAATAGTAACATACCATTTTCATTGATCAGATTTACAAATTAGAAACTAATAGTTCCAAAATTTTATATCACTTGTGAGAGTATGTCACTCCTAAGAAGTGACACTATTGGGAGATTTAACTCCATACTTGCCAGTTGGTGCCATGCATGGGAGATACCTCTTATAGCATGGGATAGTATTCAAACTGCCCTCGTTTCTTCAGCAGGCCATTAATTAGGCTATTTACCAAAGAGGTATGGATACATAGTGAATGACATCACTGAAATTCGCGAGTATGCAGAGAAAGGAAGGTTCAATTCATGCATGATTGGACAGCAGCTGATAGATTTTAGTGAAGGAGATCGGTATGAAATTGAGTGTTTCCGAGTCATCATTAACTTGGTACGGTCCAAACTTCTCTCAGAACCAAAACACTCGAATACAGTACGAATGATGTGGAGAGTCCTAAAGCTACTACATCTTGCATGACAGTTAGACGATCCATCCTCTCCATGGCAGTGAAAGTATGTGCAGCGACATGAGAACAGATCGTGCCAGAGGATCAGGAAGACTAGAGAAGAGAAGAGAAGAGAAGCATAAAGACCATAAAATTCAATGCAGGATTATCCAGATGGTAATAGAGGACCGAAAGTAGAGTCTGGACGCAGTGTACGTCTTGATTCAATCCTTTCGGGATGCAGACATTCGGCTCAACAGCAAGTGGAGAAGGACCGACTCTGAACGAAAATGGCGTAGGTGATTATGGAAAGTTTGAATAAGTCCTGGTTCAAATTTGCGTTGTTTCCAGATTTTGGTGGATCCTTCACCAGGATTTGTCACAGCTCAGAGATTAGCGAGATCGGACTTCTGTTCTCCAAAACGTTCATGGGCCAACGCTACGATCATCCGTCCAAGGAGTTTGTCTCCGTCTTATCTGAAGCACTAGACACATGATGGAAATCGAAGAGTTCTTGCGAAAAGCCAATAGACTGGCAGCTTCACATTTTCTCGTCCAAATTCAATTTGAGCTTGTAAGAAGTCTGTTGCTCTGGAGCATCGACCTCAATGTCAATGACGCTAAAGCTGGCGAAGAAGTCAGTGGAGAGTTTGAAAAAAACACCTCGGGCAGTAGATAGCAGTACAGTATAGCAAGAGGGGCAAAACAGACAGTTGACACAATGATAACTAATTTTAGAAGTTGGGGAAGTAAGTAGGATTAAGGTCTTGTCTGACACTGAAGCGACACCATCAACTTCAAAAGGCGACACCACCACGAGTTGGAGCAGAGCCAGGTACTCTGTGCATAGGCTTGGCCACGGTCCGGTTAACGGTTAACCGGTCCGGGAAATGTGCGGACCGGTTAACCGGTCCAATTAACCGGTTAACCGGTCCGGCATTTTGCCATATCGGTTAACGGTTAACCGAGGTTTTAACCGGTTAACCATCTGTCCCGACCCTACGTGGCCGCGGGAGGGGCTGGGAGCGAAGGAGGAATTGCGCCATAGCTCGAGGACTCAAATGAGCCCCCACTCGGACTGTTGAAAATCCTCCCGGTTGAAAACGCTCTCGAATTGGAGAGACTTCGACTTTGCGCCAGGGTGCAGGGAAGCTGGAGAAACACATCCAAGCTCGAGATTTATGCTAGGGATTATCCACTTATCGAATTGGGTGATCAAATTAGGTGATAAAAAAATTTACTTATTTATTTACAGCAAATTAAACCGGCGAGCCTCGCTGATCTAATTCTGCTGCCAGAGGAAAGTTTTTTTCCCGGACCGGTTAACCGGTCCGGAGAAATCTGGGACCGGTTAACCGTCGGTCCGGACCGGACCGTGGCCAAGCCTATCTGTGCACTCCCCAAGAATGATAATGTATGTTTCCGAAGAAGTGGTAAAGCTCATGTGTAGTACACTTGAAGTCGATCGAGGAAAATGAGTCCAAAAGTAATTTAGAGTCGTTGAACGAAAGTGACTGAGTGGAAATATCCCCCTGCTCTGAAAGAATTTAGTTGAGTTCAAGTATGTACTTGAACTCAACTGAGTAAGTAGCAAAAAGAATGGGAAGAGCCCTACGACGGTCAGGAGCAAGACGAGCGCAGCTAGTCAACTCAAGGTATTCAAGCTTTCGCAGGCTATTTAGCCACTTCAGGGTACTGTGCAGCGACTAGCACTAGACTCAGCCAGTCACCAGTCTTCGGCATGTAACTAACTACTGTAACTACCTCGATTCCTTTTTTCTAGTGGAATATGACATCAATGAGATCTAATTTTTTTTTTTTTACCCATATAGGTATAGATACCATTTCTGCTTTGCGAGGTATAAAATCCTTTAGGGGCCAAGGCTGAGAAAGGCTGCTGGCTTTGGCTTTCTTGGAATTTTGGCCCATCTCAACATTGACTGCTTGCTCCTTGATGTTCATTGTTCTTAATCCCATCTCAAAAGCCAAATATCAGATGTCAAATCGCAAATCAAGAACAAAAGAGAGGGTAGTTGCACATGACATGACATCTGAAAGGTTAATACCTACAAAGATCCTACGTGAACTCAGTAGCCAGTCATCATGATTTCTCATGTAGACCATGAGACAGATCGCAGAAAGGCCTCCATGTGGATAATGATGAGTCGTTATGCTAATATTACATTATCAGTCATCGCATAACCCGTCATATGCTGTGTCATCATATATTTGTTTCAGAAGCAAAATCTTGGAAGTACAAAAATAATGACAAGAAAGAAAGGATTATTTTCGCCTGTTTCCGTCTTCCTGCCATTCCTCAATCCTCTTCGTAACGGTACTTTCTAGATATCACTGTCTCCTGAAGATAGAACTGTTTACAAACCTGGGGTTTCAAATTGCCATGCTGCCATTCAGGCTTACTTATTTCAGGCATAACACATTAAATATTAGTAATATTGTTGGAATCCCTCTGACATTTTGTCAATTACCTGTGTGTATAGTAATGGAAACATTTTTTTTTTCTTAGAAAACAAAGTCGGCGTTGTCCCGCACGCCGGCCTTGTCATGACAAATTAGAACATATTCAAGTCGTTATAAAAGCTATCCTGTTGGCATTAGGCCGAGATTGCCATCTGTGGTCTTCCCACGACTCACATTCATTTTGAGTCAAAGACCTGTTTAGTTACTCGACATCATTGGATATTCGTCCATCTTGTAACTTATGCACAATGCGCTGGGTATTGTTCAATGTAGAACACAAGGATGCTCACTCTCAGCGTTTTCATTCGTGGTTTGCATAGCGACTGTGGCCACACTGCACTCCGCAGTTAACAAAACGGGTTTATGAACACGGTCGAGAAAAATGAGTCCTGCCAACAGGCTCGGACAAAATTTGTCCGCCGGACAAAATAATAAGTCACAACCATTTCTCCCCGACACAATTCGCATCGTTCGGGCTGTCTCCTTGCGATCGGACAGCATCATTGGTGTCACGAGACCAGTGGTCCGTGACGTCAGTGGAGGGTCTTCCTCGATTTCCACAGAAAGCGGTGCCATAAGCACAGTGCGGTCGAGAGCCGTCCGTCAACGTCGGCCGTGTTTCTGTAATGCGGGCATTACGTGTTACGCCCTGATTGCTTTCGTACAGCTAAAGGGTAACAAACTATCCGATGTGGCATCAGTCCTGAAATATCTCCGAACACGTAGGATGTGGATAGGTACGTCTTCCCCAAAATATCAATGATCCAAAAGTCCACGTCCATTCAATGAGTGCCTATAGGCCGACGCGTGTTTCGACAACACGATAGGGACGACCACGTGGAGTGAATCCGTCGCCTCCTTCTCTAAACGACAGCAACCTGCGCAGTGACCACTGACATGAATTGCCTGAAGGGGAAGGGCCAGGCACTCAGATCTGCCGGATCCCAGCAGCAGCGGCAGCAGTCAGGCATTCTTATCCGACTTAGTGACCAAAGAATCCCATATTGAACGCAGCCGCAGCCGCCTGGTCGTCAAAGACGAGCGAGGCACCTCGTGCAGTACAAGTGACTGGTGAGATTCCACTTCTGTCCTCGCAAGAGAGACCCACACCTGCCATCTTTGAATCCTGACCGCTCTGAGAATAACGAACACATCTGTCTTGCGGGCCTAATCTACGCACTGTCGGCCCTGCATGTACATACAAACAGACTACAGACAGAAGCACGAAGAATACTCACACGCATGTGGAACAAGAAAAATCGAAGCATATCCTTTTCAAAGACCTTCAAGTAAAACAATGAGATATGTGTTTAGCTTATGTGTACAATAATTTCAGTTATCATGTAGTCAAGCACTCGGATTCGGCCAGATTCAAACCAGAGGGCGACTTCACCTTCACCGTGGGTCCTCTCACTGGCCCAACTCGGTGACGATGGAACACCACGTTCATTTCAGATCTCAGGCTGGAATTGAAGTAACTACAGGGATATATTTAAAGCCTTAGAACCTGCAACAAGGCTGCAAAATCTGGCCCTTTACCCTTGTTGTGGCGACAAAGCAACAACATTTGAGGTTACAACTATTAAGTTCGGCATGTATCACTCAGTTCAGTCAACCAATCATAAATCTAAGAATTGATCGGACATTCTAATGGTTTGATATGGTCTTCTTCCTGGCCATTCTAATAATAATATACGTTTCGTTGGCCTCTTAGGTACAGGCTTTCAGCGGGTGTACCGACATGTTACATTCCTCGTCTAAGGAGGCCCGCTCACTATCATCTACTATGTCTTTATTTAGGGTTTGTACAAAATTCACAAAAAGGCGCCAGTGACTGGACTGGAATAACGATTCTCCCATTCTAAAAAATGTGAAGGCGGCCATTCTAGGAAGCTCCGGGCAACTCACGCGATGAACGTTTTTCTTGATACGCTCATGAGCTACTTCATCGAATCGAATGAGAGAATTCTCACCAGAAATTGGCACGCCATATTTCGCGCAAGCAAACCTTATCTGCAACAGGAGATGTTCTGGACTGCATTTTGCTTCAGCCAGCTGTTCGTCATCGGCCATTTCCATGCAGGATACAGTTAACAAAGCCCCGTTCTTGGCGAACATTTGGACGGCTAGGTCATAACCATCCATTCCCTCAGAGTTGTGATAACCGGTTGTCAACTCCGCTGCATGCGCCTTCGTCTTTTGCCACCAGTGCACTCCGGGGAGTTTCCCCGCAATAACGACATGAAGGTCGTCCTTTTGGAAAATGGAACCTGCGAGGGCAAGCATGCGATCTCCGTGCGATACAAGGGCCCCGGCATACCAAGACAGAAAAAATTTTCCGAAAGGAGTGTCCCAAGTCCCATTATCTTCATTAAAAAAAGTCGTCTCACCGGGCCATGAGTGATAAGAGCCCACTCCTTCAGGTCCACCCAAGCCCCATTCTGGCTTACCCATAAGAGAGGCCTGATTCTTCAGATCTTCAAGCATGTATTTGTCGTAGCACTGAAATTCTCCAATTCCTGGAAATCGCCACAAGTCGTCCGGAAAGGCAGGATATTTGAGCTCACCACCAGGACCCAGTCCTACCATCACCTCCTACACTCACATCCAGTTCTCAGATTAGATATCGACCAAGATAGTAAAATCAACCGAATGAAGGTGTTAAAACAGTGCCTGCAAGCCCTTTGTGATGTATTACTGCATGAGAAAGGCATCAGCATTGCAACTCGGCGAAGGGAGAAGCACACTTACCACAATAGTATCACCAAGGTAGAGGGAGAAAGTTTGCCGGAAACTCTCCATCAAATCGGAGTACATTTGCAGAGGAGAACGCCCTTCAAACAAGGGCAATTCATCCACAGCAAGGGAAAGGCATTCCTTACTTCGGTGTCCGGACCGATCACTGTGAAAAATGTCAGGGTTGCCCTCTCCAATCCTCAGAACCCACGAAGGAAGAGAAATATCACAGGAGTCTCCAGAGATGCTTGACCCGTGAAAACACAAAGATGCCTGAAGTTTGAGGCCCGCAGCATTTACCATCTTCACAACAGCGAGATACGCAGACCAGTCATACTTTTGAGGTCCTTCTCCTTCCACATTTCCCCACCATATGTGCAAGAGGACGCCATCCACTCCTACGATTTTCAGAGCCTTCAGGCTGGCTTGAAGAGCCCTTGCACGATTCACTTTGTTGGAGCTTGTCACAGTGTCCGACGGAATTACCACGTACAGAGGAACATGCTGCAAAGTGAAATTGCATTAGAACTCATTCTATTGCTAAGCCTAGAGGCAAGAATCCAAATGACATGCATCGAGTGTTTTTTAACTGTTAGGTTTCATCTGTTGTAAAATCAAAGAGAATACATATGTTTTACACATACATCCTCTACAGGTTGTGTAAGAAAAACTCATGAGGGGGAGCCATGTACACGGAACGAGCAAAGATGAGCCAAACTTCAAACTGATTGTTTTGGCAACAGAGGATGATTAAAAGTCATCCTGTATGCGTACAGACTAGCTGCGTAACTTGAAAAGAGCTGGCACATGGAATGACATTGAAGCTTCTATATTTGAAAACAAAGGTACATAATGCTGTGTTCGAAACTCCCTGCAGTCAACACATTTCCAGTGATGACCATCCAGGCTAACTTAATGCTCATTCACCAACAAGATATGACAAACTGCGCTAGCAGAAAAAAGAAAAAAAAACCTCACAAAAAAAGAAAGTGGACTCACAAAATTTTGAGACAGAATCTCGAAGTTAAACGCAAAGCTGACAAATCCAAAACCAATCGAGCATAGATGACAGAGCAGAAATACTATATGAATGCTTGATAGTGCTAGTTTGGCATCACTCCTAGAATCTTGTAATATCGCCAGGCATTGTGATTACTGTGATATACATACTTGGGAGCGATATCCAATTTGTTAAAGCTGAATACAAACAAAGTGGTGCAATATGTAGACTAAATTGAGGCTTCTACCGGCGAGCACTCTTTTGAAAAATCTTCTTCTAGCAACTTCACCAACTGCTATTTTACAAAAATTGGCCGCGTTAAAGAAGCAGGCTGACCATGAGTAGGGAGCAATCTCAAACATCTCAAAAGACATCATTACTTCGACGCACCAAGATCCTAAGATTTGGTGGTCAGAAACGCATGAATCTCATAAATGTCTGACTTGAAGGGTGTCATTCGAGTGCATCACCAGCTACTATTATGAAAGCACTGACTTAACTACGAGGAAGGAAATCCATGCAATGACAAGATACAGATGATGATTTGGGATTTAGTCGTGAAAATAAGAATACGAACCTAGCCATCAATCCTGATAGTATTACAAGAAATCAGTAAAATAAGGCTAACCTCCCGAGGTAATATACTTCTTGAAATGTTAGTTCGTCTACTAAGCTAGATCCGAACAAAATCTAGGCCACTACTCATCATATGACAGTATCTCAAATCTCAAATCAAGAGTTCATGTCTCTCAACATAGGTAAAGCGTCCGCAACAAAACCCCTTTGAAGTTCGACAGTAGAACTGACAACCGTGATGGCACGGGCACCTTCCAAGAACGACAAGCACGTTTGTCATAGAGAAGACATACCATCAGATAAGAACCAAAGCAAGAGAACCACAAAGAAGAAAAAGAGAAGATGCCTTGTTTGTCTTCCAAACATCACTTTGGGCACTCAGGAAGTCTCTAAACGCGCTACATTCAAACTCTTCGATCCGCCAACAGTATCTGGCAAAGATGAGCTTGATTTACCAGAGCGATATGTCAGGCTAAAACAAATTGAACAAAATGCAAAAGGGATCCGACATCAACCCTGGAACAAGTACCGACGCTGGAGTCATAACATATCCGGATGATTTGAAGGTGAATCACTGAGCACGCAGGCAATCCTCTCAGATAAAAATATTGCGAGGTCCAAGAATAAGCGCTGTGTTTCCATGATGTGTTTCCACCAGGGGAAAACCCGCAGTCAAAGGGGTACACAGTGTCAGTCGTGATGACACATCAAGGTAATCTGTGCACCGATCGAATATTACAGGAAGGTCGATGAGTAAGTTTTAGTGCTGAATTCCGTAACACAGTTGCTGACGATCAAGCTGAGCTGTTGGAACTCACATTCTTGCGTAGAACCTCGGAGCTCGCAGCCGAAGTCCCTGAGGTGGGAGAAAATCGCACATTATTGTTGCCCAGCATGTCACCTCGGCTCGCTCTGACTTTCATCTCTCTCCTGTTAACCCTGGGCATCCACTCTCTGCTGCCCGGGTACGATCTTTCTCCAGTGCATGTCGTCGAAGGCTCACTCCAAGAAGAACCCGGCATGCGCAATGAAATCGGATAATCTATATCAGAGAAAGAAGACGCTACATGATACAAGCTCGCTCGACAAGACGAGCACGATACTTTTTTCGAACTCCTGTGAGACGAAACAAATTTACTAACGAAAGTCTTGGAAGTGGATGATTGCCGAGCCGCCCCCAGTTGCACCGAAGACGAGTTCAGCAATACTTTCTCGTTCCCGCACCTCTGCGATGTCGGAAATAAAGTCGCTAAAGAGGCAAATGTAGTAACTACAGATGCCATATCGCGAAAGACGGTTTTATTTGATCATTTGGTCGCGCTATCGCGTGCCCTCCACGCGTCTATTCTACTCCTCCCTGCCCTGACTGCCTGTTCCTTGCCCCTTTGCTCGAAGTTATACACTCGACAAAGTGTGCCCTCCCAAGTGTGCCCTCGCGGCCCGCCTGTCAAGCCATCAACCAATCAAGAACCGCTCTCCCGTCGACTCCTCCTCCTCCTCCTTCTCCTTCGTCTCGCGACGGCCTCCTCAGTAGAACTCTAAACCCCACATTCCCCTGCCCTTACGAGAGCTCTCCTCCGCTGCTACTACTGCTGCTGCTGCTCTTCCTCGAAAACGCCGAAGCTGCTGATGATGAGTCGGGCCCGAGAACTTGCAGAACACCCGACCGGCGAGAGATCAACGCTAATCACAAACGCAGACGAGGGAGGGGCGATGACTTGTCACCAGGTGCCCCGAAACCTACAGTGGACAAAAAGTTGTTCCCGGCTCGGGCGGTGAGAGCCGCAACTTTAATTCGAGGTGGGCAAGTCGCCCCCGAAAACAAGGTGCCTGCTGCTGCGCCCTGCGCCAGAGTGCGAGCGACTCCGGCCCTCCGCCCCGAGCTGCTTCTCCTCCTCTCTCTCAGAGCTGGTGCATGCAACCGGTGGAGAATGCAGCCCCCAGCGCCCCTCGCCACAGGCGCCACAGAGCCAGCCCGCCCGCCCTACAACGCGCTCCTGCACCGCCCGATTCAGGACAAAACCGCGCTGCCACTTCCGGAAGAACCAAATGATCCACCCGCCACGCGGCCGCCCGCCGTTGGCCCTCCACTTCGCCGGTCTCCGCCGCGGGCCCCACGCCGCCATGCGGTGGCATCCACAAGCCGGATGCATGGTGGGCAGGATTTTTATGCCGCCAATCAGGATCGCGGCGCTCGAGCTCCGGCCGGATCCCGCCCGCGCCTCCGGGACGTAGTCCGACGCCTCCTCTCCGTCGCCGTCGCCCTCGTCTCTCTGCCCGCCGGGATCTTGATTTGCAAATCAGCATAAAGTGATGACATGTCCCGGTGACTCGGACTCTTACGAACCCTCCGATTGGCAGCTTCGGCTTTTTTCTTTCTATTCTTCTTTTCTTCCTTTGTTTGCTCCGGCACCTTCTGCCCGCTGCCAGATTCCACATCAGTCCGCCCGAATCACGGATCCGGAGCGATTGAGTGCTTCGGTGTTTTGTTGATTCGGTTCCAAGCGATCACATCGAGTCGAGTCATCGAACCTCCTTATTCGCAGTCGAGCGTCTATGTCCGCCCGTGTATTCTAAGAGTCACCGCTTAATGTCCACCTCGCATTCTTTGTGGTTTCGTAGTGCATGTACAATGCGTTCTCCAGGTATTCTCATGCCGTGCTGATCGTCAGGCTCGCGCATTCGCATGCGCTGTTTGTTGAATCTCTGTATCCACCAAAACTTCTTCATGGGAGCAATTTAAAGGTTTCTAAGTGGCATTAATCTCGAGCCGGCATTACATTTGTTTCTGGCGGTTGTTAGTGTACATTAAGACTCATATGACTTTTCACTTTGAGAAACCTTCTTCTTGGTGTAAAGGAAACAACCTTCTTCTTAATTTCTTGCGGTTTTATCCCCAAATGGCTGGTCATTTACCGTGGAATGAATTGATCAAGCCGGGTATGCACATGCGATGAAAGCTGAACAAACTCGAGATTTGAACAGTCAAATGAGAATCTCTAGAGGAGACAAAATTCACATAGAGGTAGAGAAGGTCAGAATGCATTTGAAATAATACAATTGTAAATTCATTATTCATATAATATATCCAACGATAATTCCATCATTAGAAGGCATAGATGTAATGCTACAATTTAACTTCCTCTTGTCCTGCAATCGAATTTACCGTTGGAGTTTGTTGTTATGAGTTGGGAGAACAATCAAAATTTGAAATAAATTTTTTATTATCGAGGTAGGGTGGGTGTACATTTGGTACACCTAATGACTCAACCAGAAGTTTGCAATTTAGCTCTACGGTAGATCATTCCAGCGTCGTGTGTTTTAATCATGGTAGCATGGCAAAAACATCTTGACTGATCTTTTGACACTTCGGGTTTGGGAGTGATACTGGACGAGTGGTACCTTTCTTTTGGTTCAAAGTGTTCATAGGATATGAGCACACATTCAGAGTGTTAGGATTAAATAAAGAGCTTGAGAATTTTGGGACGAATGGGAGACGCTACAACAAATGTGTCCAGGTCTTCAGACATTTGTGAAGGTAAAAGAAATGGAGGAGATTTTGATATCTTATGAACTTTATGCATACCTCTTTTGGATAAGTGAATGCATGCAAAATTTTCTACGTTGGAGTGTTTGGAGCTCCACAACATCAAGATAGCTTTCCATTTGCTTGTTATACACATAATTGACCCCTTTTCAATGCCGATTAATGTATTATAAAGTCTTTAACATGCATCAAGAAAATATACGTGTGAAAGATGACACAAGAGTTCTTCTCGCATTGAAGGTCGATACTATAGCTTTCCTTTGGTACCCAGTGCTAGTGAGTTAGGGAGACTTTTGTCTCTGCGAGAAAATTCACAAATGCAAGACCATAAGATGTCTCCTACTTTCCTACATTGCATTGAACAAAGCATGGTCATCATTCGTCCAACTTGAAAACCTGTAGACGTACGTGATCCTTACAGTTTCGTACGTTATCTTCTGAGTTCTATCATTGCCTGCGCTACCAAGATAACTCGAAAGAAGATTATTGATGATGAGAGGGTGCAGAATCCTGAATTGTTGGCTAGTTCACCAATCAACCTTTATTGAAAGTGGATCTGTAAAGTTTATCCAAAGTTTCATAATTTTGATGTTCAGAATTAGAATGTACTCGAATTTGAAAATCATGTGATCTTGTTGACTAAATTTTGAAATCTAACGTGTGAAGTCGGTACTTGTATGAAATAGGTAGCGTGGGAGTTACTGCTAATGCAGTAAGAGTTTCTGTGTGACCTATGACTTCAAGAGTTGATTATTCTACTCCTTTAACATCATGCTGCTCTCCATAGACAATTCAAGTATGTTGATGAAGAGCCGTGATCTGAGTAGAACTGAGTAATTAGATGTTGCTCTTTATTAATCCTCCTAGAACAACATGAAATGCTCATACATGATAGGGGAAAAACAAAGAGAATGCAATGGTTTAGTCATTGATCAATTTACTTTCATGCAGAAAAAATGTTTATTTGGCGAGATTTCAAATTGAATTTTATGCATAAACGAATTTACATGATGCTATACTTGCAAAAAGAACTGAGCATATTTTGGGATTCATGACTAAGTTAGATCATATATTTAAAAGGTTCTACGGCGGTAAATACGGAGGAGTCTCGTACTAAAACCTGCTTAAAGACGATGTAAAGTTTTAGCATGATACGTATAGCCACATTATTTCCAATGTATTTTTGGTCAAAATTTATCAATGTATATTAAAATTTATATTTCGTAAATATGATATTAGTGATTCACTTTGATTTTGCACAGAATTGTAATGACAGCTGAAAATCAATTCGGATTTAAAAAAAATGTTAGTCAATTTTCGTTGACCTTTTTCTCGAATGTGTTTCAAACAAACTTCATCACTACTTTGTATAACTCAAACACAAACAATGCTGATATATCTCAACAGTTCTTTTAAGATTTCAAAATTTGACCTGATTATCATTTGATAAATTAGTCATTTATAATAATAAGAAAATTATCAAAATAATCTCAGTCTAAATTTTTTTGGCTTGCATGGACATTTGTATTTTTACATAAATATTATGTTTCATATCAAAATAGTTATGTGGCTAGTATCTGAAAATTTATTTTGATTATTTTTATATTTTCATTTCAAATTGAATTCTTTTTTGTTCTCAATGAGATCTAAAAGTATACAACACCAGTTTCAAAATTCAGTCAGATTGATGAAAAAGTTATGTGTTGTACGTTTACTTTGATTCTAAAAATGAAAGAAGTAAATGACTTAATCTATTTGAAAAAAGATAATATATTATAATAAATATATTTGAAAAAATTAATGATGATTATTTATTCGTGACTGGAATCTTATAATTAGCTCAATTAGTATTAAAGTTTTGATTGACATAAAATTCTAGTATTTAGATTTAACACACTATAGAATACAGATCTTTGCAATTTTTTGCTGTAAAGAATACTTAGGAATAACTTTTGTTGTTGTTGTTGGTGTATCTCCATATCACTATAATAGTAGGGCTTTAGTTTCAATGTATTGTTTCTCATAACGTTGATTGTGAAATCGGTGAAGGATTCAGGCGATCTTTGACTAATAACCAACGCGTAAAGTCTGTACCAATTTGATTCAGTAGCAGCACGAAAAGATGCACGAAAGACGGCTCTCGGCTTCTCGATCGCAACTCGTGTTTCGCTCGCGATGGATTAACACGAGGTACAACTTTCGGACAAAGGGTGAAAGCAGCGGGCTATAGCAGGTAAGAATTTGAATTCTGACCTGTTCTCTCGGCTCACCAAGTGAAGGCGAGTCGTCGTCTTGCGCTATGCAACACCGCAAGAGGAGGGACAGCGTCCAGTTCCCAGTTCCCGGTCATGGTCCCAGTGCGAGTTACCGGATTGCGTAGTGGGCCGTGTGCGAAGGGCATAAACTGACCCTCAGGTCTGTCACCGGGAGCGAGGGAGAGAGCCAAGGCCTAACGAGGTACGTTAACGGGGAATTTCATCGATGCTCACGGATTGCCCTCCGGTTAGGGTTATACTCGTAATTCCAGTGCAGAGCGGGTCGGGGATGGCTCGATTTGGATTCGGGACGTGCATCCGAAGAGCTACCGCGTAGTGCAGAGGTCGACATCGGTGACCCGAGCTGGCGATTTCTCGATCTTTGCCGCGATTTTGACAGTGCCTGCGTCCGGGGGAGGTCATGTCCACTCTTGAAATCGAAGCGAGGGAGTACGTTTTATCCCCCAATCACAGTTTTGAAGCCTACCCACGACCATGCTCTTATGCTTGTTACCTGTGCTCCCTTTTGCATTTCAGCTCGGTGCTATCGAAGACGTTCAAGTTGTGTTTGAAGTTGACTTCAAATTTTTTTATTTTTAGGAATATTTGTACCACGAAGCTGTCAGTCATATCTGATATGGCTTATGCACATTGATTTTCCCATTTCTCCTGTGAGATGGGCGTTTATTTTATTTCTGGGTTTACTTTTGCACTGTCGTTGGAAGATGCGACATTTTGGACTTATCTTCTTTCACCCTTCGTCGATAAATTTGCTTCCCTCCTTTCCTTGGAATGTTTGGTTTGCTTTTTTTTTGTCTGTTGTCATTTTTTCCGAGGCATTACAGCTTCGGAATGAATTGTCAAGTGTCGAAGGATCTGCACTCTCAGCTGTCAAGGCTTGATCAGATGATGTGCCCTACAACATATATCTCAAAGCTAATTGCTCGTTGAAAACGAGGAACTAGCTATCAATGTCCTTGGAATATTGGAAGTCTTCCAGATTTGACGCAGTTTGTTCGAAGAATTTTTTTTGTTTACAGGAATAGTACAGGAGTGAAGTCTAGTTTTGGTTTGTCTAGTTCTGAGCTTCAGACAGGTTCGCAACATAAGAAATCAAACAAGGTCACGTTTTCTATATTTTATATCTAATTCTGCTTCTGGGTTGAAAAAAAATTGCCTAATTTTCTTCTTCCTGGTTGGTCACAGTGTCATCAAAATAGTGCTGCAGTTCTGCAAAGAGAATTCTTTGCAGCAGACATTTCAGACACTTCAGAATGAGTGCCAAGTGTCTCTTAATACAGTTGACAGTCTGGAGACATTTGTCGGGGACATCAACAATGGTAGATGGGACGCAGTTTTGCCCCAGGTAGCCCAGCTCAAGCTCCCACGGAAGAAGCTGGAAGATCTCTATGAGCAGGCAAGATCACGAATTGGTCTCCAAAGTGTTTGAATCCTGTATATTTTGCTATATAATTTTCAGTTTCATTTCCGAGAAGGGCTACTTTTCTGTTTTCCTTCGTGTGAGAAGTAGTTTGTATGACCTCGTTGGGTTACGCTTGCACATTAAGCATATATCCTGATCAAGTTGGATTGGTTATATATGACAGATTGTTCTTGAAATGATAGAGCTTCGAGAGTTGGATACAGCCAGGGCAATATTGCGACAGACCCAGGCCATGGGTTTCATGAAGCAGGAGCAACCTGAGCGTTATTTGCGCTTGGAGCATCTTCTAGTGAAGACCTACTTTGATCCGCGTGAGGTACGGATACAGTTTTCGGTCCTGTCGTCAATAGTAGTTGTTCAGTGAAAGGAACCAGACCTTGGAGTCGTGTGGCCGTGTAAGACAAACTCTGGCGGAATGTTTACTTTGCCACTGAGACAAGAGGTTGCACCATCAACTGGCCCGCTTCTTGCACCTATTGTGAGACAAATTAAATTGTTACAGATACCTTCAGCACTTTAAAACTATGACGTGGGATGGAATGAGAGCAGAGTAAGCAAACGACTTCATGTCGAGTCGACACAGTTTTTTCTTCATGCAATCTGCTTAACATATTAGTGTCGTTGTTCCACAGGCGTATCAAGAATCATCGAAGGAGAAACGAAGAGCACAAATTGCACAAGGTATCTTTTTGACCTTGTTTAATACTCTCGTTATAGGATAACTAGAAAGAACCGACACCCATTTTCACGTCGGGTATTCCTCTCTCAACTTCTGTTTCTTAATATTGGTATCGATTAGATTTTGAGAAGAAATCATACATATTACTTGCTGTATATATTGCACGTTGCATATGTTTTTAATTTCCAAGAACCGGTGACTGATTTGTATTCTCCTGTTGTCTATAGTCCGCTTCTGAAGCTTTGAATCAGAGAAAGCCTGTTGTAGTGGAGAACTGTGGTGCAGATTCATTGCCTAAGGTATATCAGACTAAGCAATTGGAGGACGATTGAACATGCTATGTAACCATCCAAATTCCTCGTCTTGCAGCTTTATCAGCAGAGGTTACTGTGGTGCCTCCGTCCAGGTTGATGGCATTAATTGGGCAAGCTCTCAAGTGGCAACAACACCAGGGTATGAAATTGTTCAGAGAAAAGATTTACATGCGTTGAAACTTATCTAAACTTAGTATCCACTGTGCTTAGTCGTTCGGAAGTTTACTTGCTGGACGTTTCCTTCCAGCCATTGGTTGACTGGATTTTTATTCAATATCGAAGTACATCACCATTTAGCTGAAGAAGACCTACTTATCTGGTAGTTATTGATCTTGAAGATATGGTTCACGAGGTCATGTTGAGGAAGCTACCCGCCTCCCGGGTAGTTTGTACAAAAAGTTTTACACAACTGGCTTTATGCAACGTAGTAATCTTGTCCGTCATTTTTGCACAGGCCTGCTTCCTCCGGGGACGCAGTTTGATCTCTTCAAAGGTGCCGCTGCGGTGAAGGCTGACGAGGAGGAGATCTATCCTACAACACTCGGTCACACAATCAAAGTACTGCTACTTGTTTCTTTATATCTTGTCACTTGCCCTTTAGAAGTATAATCTTATTATTGTCTCTCAATCCTGCTCCAGGCCTATAAGTGAATCCTCTCTCTTTCAGTGAATGTAGAGATTTGACCCGAAAGGTAATTTATCACGGTTTAGATCGATCGTATGTTTTGAGTCACCTACGTCTGACTTGCAAGGTCATGCCAAATACAAGCTAAATATTCTCCTATATTTTAATTGTTTCTATTTTTATATTATGGCAGTTTGGGAAACAAAGTCATCCCGAATGTGCAGCATTTTCACCTGATGGACAGTATCTTGTTTCATCATCTGTCGATGGATTTATTGAGGTGCGTCTCTCACAGCTCTCTCTTGAATTTTCATATTTTGTTGTCCGGCGAAACTCTGACTTATAATTGAATTCACGATCTTAGGCGATAGAAGTTGTGTTTGTTCGTGAAGATGTCCTGAGGTTAAATTTTAAGCGGGGTTTGAGCCTCATCATTTCACCTTGACATCGTGTTGCCTTTCTTCCAAGTCTTACTGCCATCAGTTGCTTGAATGTCTCAGTTTACAATAACTCCGGTGTGAATTTCTTTGTGGACTCAGGTTTGGGACTACATTAGTGGGAAATTGAAGAAAGATCTCCAGTATCAAGCTGATGTGAGTTGTATTCTATGGACTTACGATTCTGCTCTATTCCTCCTCTCTTGACTAATTTTTTCGAAGGCACTTTTTACAAGTGCAAGAATTGTGATCTATTCTGTTTCTCATATCTTGGTTTGGTCTTTTTTTAGTCACAATTTAGTAAACTGCAATGCTCAAGATTTGACGTTTTAATTTCATTTTTTGAAAATGTATATTTTCAATGACAAAGTGAGTCTTCATGAATTTTCAAGCATGGAAATTTGCCGTGAACTGTAGGCTATATGTTCTCGTACATAGATTCGGTACTGATGTATTGTGGCTTCATGCAGGATGCCTTCATGATGCATGATGATGCTGTGCTCTGCATCAGTTTCAGTAAGGATTCGGAAATGATTGCCTCTGGATCTCAAGATGGAAAGATCAAGGTAAGCTAGTTCTGCATGAACCCACATACTGGCGTGAATGATTTGGGATCAACTATGGTCTTTCATGGTGGCGAATGCCGTGACCACCGCGTGCAGAAGAGCCTGAAAATTGGTGCACTTGCTTCTCTGCAGGTGTGGAGAATAAGAACAGGTCAGTGTTTGCGTCGATTTGAACGGGCACACGGAAAGGGTGTGACTAGTTTGTCATTTTCAAGAGACGGGACGCAAATCTTGAGCACGTCTTTCGATGGCACCGCAAGGTAGTTTGTTCATATTTTGTTGAGATAATAGTCGAAGTAAAGCGTTATTATGCACAAAGCCAAACCTTCAACATCAAAAGCACAATGAATTCATGATGACCAAGTGGCAGATATCTACACGCAATCGTCAGAAAATAATAGACATTGAATAATAAAGATTTGGATTCAGTTATATTACCTGGCGAAACTTAACCTTTCTGATATCTGTGTTTGTCTTTTGCCTCTGGACAGAATACATGGTTTGAAATCAGGGAAGATGTTGAAAGAGTTCCGTGGTCATACTTCCTACGTGAACGATGCAATATTTACAAGTGAAGGAGGCAGAGTGATAACTGTTTCTAGCGACGGGACCGTGAAAGTAAGAGATAGATACGCATCGCACAGAAATCTCTTGGAATAGTTATTGTTTTGACATCACTATTCTAAAGCAAATACCTTAGGCCTTGATTGCTAAGCTTTCTCACTGTCGCAGTGCTAATTCTTCCTATGTTTATAGGTGTGGGATGTGAAAACTACGGAGTGCTTACAAACATTCAAACCACCACCGCCATTGAGAGTAAGAACGTTTCTGGCGTCTGTTGATATTAAGTGCATATATTTTGGATGTCACACGTGTGTGAGATGTGTGAGATGAAGTGTGAGTGCCCAATTTTTTAAGGTGATCGTCAGTCCTGTTCATGGATGGTGGGCTGGTCACGTCTAGGGAGGTGATGCGTCCGTGAACTCAGTACACCTTTTTCCGAAGAACGTGGAGCAAATTGTTGTCTGTAATCGTGCATCTTCGATTTACGTTATGACACTGCAAGGCCAGGTGACACGTTTGCTTGACCTATCTCCCCCTCTTGGCTTTACTATTTCTATTTGTTCTTCGAACTCCAGTGTTATTTTCCTTCTGAGCCTGTTTGCTGCTTAGAATCCACTGTTACACAGTGAGTCGGTGATAAGTTTTGAAGTCGGATTCTAATAAATGTACTGTTTGTTCGATTGCAGGTCGTAAAGAGTTTTTCTTCCGGAAAGAGGGAGGGTGGAGACTTTGTCAGTGCCTGTATTTCGCCCAAAGGGGATTGGATCTATTGCGTTGGTGAAGACAGGTATGATGACTATGCAAATAGTAAATCGAGGTTCTCGTAGTAAGACAGCCTAAATTTGTGTTAAAGTGTGAATTACCCTAAAGAAATTCAGAAGTTTCAGATGCTTGCGCTCCTGTGCCCAATTACAAGTTTCTAAATTCTTTGTTGTGTACAGAAATATTTACTGCTTCAGTAATCAGTCGGGCAAGCTGGAGCATCTTATGAAGGTAATTTTGAAAAATATCAAAATCAAAATGTGTCGTTGTTTTACATAGATACCATGAAGTTCATGATGCTCTCTTTTAGTAAACCCTCTATTTAATGAACCACTTTCACAAGCCAGTCAGGGCAAGGCTGATTGTATGAACATAATTTGCCTTGATTTTTTCAGGCACATGAAAAGGACATCATCGGCGTGACCCATCACCCACATCGAAATTTGCTAGTCACATACAGTGATGACAATACCATGAAGCTATGGAAGCCTTGATCTTTTCCCGTTCTCTAAGAACGTTGAGCAGTTAACACTTGACTTTCACGTTCACGAAGTTCTTCTCAACTGGCGTTCAGACAGACAGTTTGGCGTGCTCAGGATCGTCACAATCCTTGGTTTCTGGCGATTGCAAAACGGTGGTGGAGGCAGGTCAAGATTCGCTCTTAACCCGGTAAAGGCCTGCTCACGAAGTCTGCATTCCAGTCAGGCACCTACCTCGAATGATGCAGCAGTGTCTCTGCTGTGCGTTGTCACATCGGCACCGACTGCTTCCGACATATGACAGAGGAGTTGAGAAGAAAAAGAGGTTTGCCGACTTCATATTAAACTGTCTAGCAAAGTATGGTCGATAATCCTCAGTGTAGGGCATAAGAATGGTATGCGCTCAGGGAATCGAGTCTCTTTCTCGGGGTGTCGTGTGATACTATTGTTCAATGCAAGAAAGGGACACGAGCAGGGTGCTGCGACAGACTCTCTTCAGTAGGTTCAGGAGCTACCAGATCAAGATGACAGGAGATGGAGTGATCACATGCGCCGATTCCCTTCTAGCCGCACGTGTTCCTGTAAATTTTGATCGGGAAGGAGTGGGTCAAGTCATTCAAGTCAGAGACGAAGGGTTTATACTCGGATGTCTTCAGCGGCAGTTTGTGCGCGAGATTTGTGAGCCTTGTATTGGTTTATGATTGTGCAAACTACGGGGGTCAGGTGGTTTCTTTAACTGATAGTCGGAGCCTTTGACACGAGATAGTTATGCAGTCAAGTGTAGGCCTCGTTCTTCCTGGGGTGCACATGTGTGCCGTAAAATCTGCCATCTTGTAACATCAACCTTTATTGTGCCATCATTTCCTCAACCTTGGCTTCGGCAGCCAAATGAATATAGCCTTTTTTTCTCTTTGATGTGGATTGTGGATCTCGATGTCACTGTATGTTGTGAAGAGATTTCGTTTCTCGAGGAGAATAGAACGTGTTTTGCATGCGATTCCCATGTGATAACAAACCGTACTACAGAACGGTTCGTAAGCCACTCCCTTGTGACCGATAAAATAACATAGCACCTCTGTTCTCATAAAGGCTTGCCAATATTCTTAGATGGGAGAAAAAGGCTTCCGACATGCGTATATTAGTCACGAGATTCTATCTGTCAATAATTCATATACGCATAGTACGAAATACTAGAACCTAGACTTACACTACAAGTCAATACCATCAAGGTACCAATTTGTTCACCAAGTGTTTACACCTGTCTTGGTAGCTTGGTAGCATAGTTTAACTGACCGGCAGTGTTCAGGTCTCTACTGTTATGGGCTACATGTAAAAGCTGCTACTTTTATAAAATGCACATGTAAGCTACTAGGGGTCGTAATCAGTCGCCCACATTCTCAGTAGAGGAGAGGACAAAGGTCAGCTTTGGTGTGGGTCAAGCAAGTGATAACATAAGCTCAACATAGATTTGTGCTTTCGAGAAGTTACCCATGAATTTAACGTCTATCGTCTGACACGCTGTTTTTATACTTCTGAACCTGTCTCTATGGGGTTCTGTTGTCGGGTTTCGGTGTCTCAAATATTTAGCGCAAATTCCGATGAAAGATCGACAAGGTGTCGAAAAGATACGGAAAGTCGACAACATTGACATAGAGCACGTCTCAATACATAGATTGGGGTCTCGCGCTCATTGCTCAGGGAGGGGACACGGTGAACCTGGAGATCAATCCCGAGTTATCACGTTAATTATTTCTCCACTCCATAAAAAGTGGTGTGCTGGATGTAAGAAGATGGCAACTAGATCTCGAAGATTGAGAATCTGGAATTGGGCTATAGTTTAGAACTAGTTTGTTTACGCCACGTAGGCAATCACATACTTCCTTATGTGTGTCGATTGCCACGGTGTAGTATCTTCTGATCTTATGGGGAATATCATGTGTTTATCGTTATTATCTATGGCCGGGATTAATGAGGAAAATACTTAATTTTTTTTATCACAACCTGGAGTCACATGTATAGTTTGACAAATAACTTTTAGAAAATTTTATATGTACATCATTCGTACTCCTAAACATTCATGGACAAGAAATGGAATACTTTGACATTACGCTCAAATCAAACGATTAGGAAGTCAATTTTCTTAAGTACGCACTTCCCGGTTAAGTATTCACAGCACTCCCGGGTTCAAAGTGCGTACCCTATCGGGAGACTACTGTACTTTGATGTCATGCTATCTACACAATACACTTGCTACGTGTACACTATATATAGACAACCTTCTTATATTAAAATAAATGCTTATGGGTTTTAGAATACTTTTCTTGTTATTGCTTGTCTTCATCTACGTAGTTAGTTCACCAGGTTTCTATATCTACAAGACTCTTGGCCGCTTTAAATAAAATAATGACTAGAGTTGAGACATGCAAGTAAATGAGAAGAGACTTTGTAAGGAGATTAAATTTTTGGTTATTTTTTTGTAAATAAATAAATAAATATATATATATATCAGTGATGGAAGATGACACTTAGACAGTTTGACTTGTTAATCACCTACATTCTCTAATTATTCATCCTTATCTTGATTTGCGATTAGATATAGATCCATTTATACTTAAATGTAGAAAAGGTATATGGATAAGATGTTGAATCTTTAATCTTGTTTACTAATTCAAGAATTTTTTTAGCCCACATAAACTTTATCTTTTTACTCTTTTTCCGTCTATGGAGTAGAGAAATACAATTCTATCCATAAATTGAATGTTTCATTATGATCGTATACTATATGAAATGTTCCTTTAAGTCGTGTTTGAAATCTTGCTACAGCAAACTATACATTTTAGAAACTTGGATCAATCAGACATTAAGCATTTACATTCAAGGCTAGTTAAATTTTTACGTAGATGAATTATGACTTCTGATTATATTAAGAATGGTTTTGTACTAAATATATATCATACAATAATTGATAACGATCAAATGGGATTGTTGATAATTTTTATTGCAAGGCAATCTATAATTGTCCTATGTAATGAGTTTTTATATGTTGCAATCAACTCATATTAGTTAAGACATATATTATATTTTGGAGGTTAAGATTATTCTTGTGATTTTAGATCCTACAAATGATACTGTTTTGGAAGTATGATTGACTCTGTTCATCATGAATATTAAACAGAGTGACATCATTTTAGGTATCCAAATTTACTCTGACATACAGATGTAAATTCTTTCTTACATTTAGAGTAATATGAAGTTATTTGACGTGTTTGTGAATGTAGTGCAAATTATAATACTACGATGAAGATATAGAAATGATATACAATCATTGAAGTATTCATTGCTCTACACATAGCACCTGATGTTGCACATTACAAAGGGTTTGGGGGCGATTCTTGTTATGTTTGAGGTACGTATGATATGTATAACAGAATTTTAGTTGATATTACTCGGGTTCATATGACTCCTTTGGTTTTAGCCATGTATGGTTTGGTGGCGTCTTACTATACTTAATACCTGGAATCAGATCGTTCAATAACAGATTTTGGTGAACCGAGAACATCTACTTCTTAATGTTCTCAGTTCACAAAAACCAACAATTGTTTGTGTTTTTTCACTATTTTATCTATGTATTTTTGTTCTCAAGAAATTTTGAAATGATCTTAATAGTTTAAACCTAGTCGAAGAAATTTCTCTTGTTTTTAAAGCTACAAGTTCTTGAGGTACTGTAAACAAGGAGTAAAATAATTAGAACAGGCCCGGTTGAACTCATCAGGTGTCACTGCAAGGTTTTAGTGGAGTAACTCCGTGAGTTTCTCTAGTAAAGACACCGAGATAAACAAACAAAGACATTGTCACAAACCGTCACCCTAATGTGTTTTGTTGAGGATTTCAGTTAGTTTTCTTGTAAAGCCACCTAGATCAACAAAGACTTGGTCACAAACAATCGTCGCAAAGTTTTAGCTGAGTGATTCCCTTAGTTTCCCACCTAGATAGCAAAGACTTTTTTGTTGGAAATACGGATCTTTCTAAAATAGAAATACGGAAAACACTAAACTCCAGAGTCCCATTGACCTATTTAGAGAGCCTGTTTATCGGAAAACAGAAATAATTGTAATCTAATCGAAACATAAAGCACGTCCAAAAGTTTAAAGCATGGTAGTGTAATGGAAGTGTTGCGAGGCCTTGGCATATCATGCTTGGATCAATTTGGGTCTGGACTAGACCCAAATGGATCCATGTTTCCCGTTTGGTTCCTTCCAGGAAAATAACAAAAAGGAAGGGAAGACTCGATGGAGTCCTTTCTACACGATGTTCGAAGACAATGAATATTCTGAGCATAGGCATAGATCCAATGAACACGAGGTCTACTTCGACCTTTGCACGGTTCCGACGGCGCGAGGCAGAACTTCCTCAACTGTTGCTTTTACGGCTGGTCAGCGCGTCGCGCAGTTCGCTGGCCATGGGAACCGTGCTCGTGCCTGAACCGCACGGACGATCCGGACTGTAGTTGCCACAGTGCGCTGACATTCTCACGAGCCTTGATTCTTCTGATATCTCTCCCACCGTGCACTTAACCCGACCTCCGAATAATCAAATTCTTTATTGGATGAATAAGATAACTCAAATCAGGTTTTGTTATAATTTAATCCAAATTTGGATTACATTATCATCCGGATCCAACATATTTTTTTTTTCCAATTAACAAAACAATATGTCCATCGAAAGAGACACAGAGAAACTTAGCTTGCGAGGTAGGTCATGGAGACTCATTCCTTCCTAAAAGTGAACCATAAGGTTCGTGGAAGGCAGCGATGATGCACGTGAAACATATGCAAATGTACAAAGCGCACCCAAAAAAGCCATCATATAAATAAATGGCTATTGTGATTGTTTTGTATAATACTTGAGTCGGGAAGACATCAACGCCAGATCCTTTGCCAGGGCTGTTAAATATGTTTTTTAGAGCATCTAAGATTACCTGGGCTATCTGAAAACTACTTGCATCAATTTCTGGCAAAAATTGAGAATGAGGTAAATAAGAGGCTAATTTATTTAACGATGAGTCTTTGTTGTGGATATTTTGCATACATTTGAAATAGTAATCCTCTGAATTTGTTCCACAAGTTGTACGTGTTGACTGCAAGGAGCTGTTGCACGATACTACCTTTGGGATAATACCTTCTGAGAAGTTTGAACCCATTTATTAACCAGGTTACTAGCTGAGATACACGAATTTTCTATTTTGATGTAAGATTGATTGAAATGAAAGTGTAATAAAACACTGTCAAGCACTGTGTGACTCAGTGTGTTAAACCGAATGATTAACCTAAATTATCCAAAAGGATGTACCATGTTGGAAAAACCTGTAGATGTTACTTATAGTTAGTAATGATTCCACTCTTCATAGAGCTTTCAAAGATCTATGAAGAGGGAAGTCAACCTTAATCATCATGGTTTGAAGTAAATTTCTTGTTCAAGTATGAAAAATATTCGCAAGATAGAAACTAAAGGACTAATTTAAGACATTGTAAACAATTTCAGCAAAATTCAAAGCTTAAGGGTATAATTATACAAGAATGTAACATTGTCATCGAGTGCATATGAGTACTAGATTATTTGTTTAAAATTAGTTCTGGACAAAATAGACGAGATTTTACAACATTCATCTTTTTATAACAATTATCAGAAAAGGATATTATGGAGACGTGTTGAAGGAGGATCATTGAAAGAAGGGTGGGGATATGCCGTGGCGCGATAATAATATTCTGAATATTCGACACCAGGTTCGGTTCGGGACTGGTTGGCATCAAGAGATAGCGGATATAGAACCAAGAGTCTGACGTGGAGGATCAGGTGCCACACTGATACTCGTCCGGTAACGGGTCGAAGCGCCCTCATCTGGCTCGGGGCGTGGGGCCCGCCGAATTTGCGCGGGCCCAATTGTCTTCTTCCGCGGGCACAATTCGCAGCATCGTCCCTTTCTGTGATCCGCCCTCCGCCGGCGGGCCCCGCCACCGCAGCAGCCCCCGCGCCCGGTCCAGCTGAGCTCAGGTGCACACGCTGGAGGAGACTGAGCTGAGCTGGGTGGAGCCGAGCTGACGGTGGACGGGAGGAGCGCGGGCCGGGCCGGGCCATGGCAAGGATAAACTTTGTCGCGCACGGTGGCGCCTGATTATGTTCCCGCAGGGGGCGCACGTTCGGACCCTTGCGCCCGTGGCCCGCTTCTTCCTTTCTCGTCGTCTCGCGCTTAGCGCCACGGCTTCCATTTGTTGGGAGATTTGATCCAGGGCCAGGGCCAGGGCCAGGGCGGGGGAGGGAGGGAGGAAGAGGGCCAGGCAGCTCGCCTTCGTTTCGTGGTCTTGGGGACGGCCGTCGAGGCATGTCGTGGAGATGAGCTCGAGTGCATAGCGAGGGGTGGGGTGCGATCGAGAGATAGAGAGAAAGAGAGAGGATCGAAAGAGGAAATTCCGGTGGCGCTGTCGAGCGGGGAGCAGGGCAATTGCTGAATTTGGTGCAGCGGGGCTGGGGGTTGGGGGGTCTGCTGGGCTTTGTCGTGTCGAGGCAGGATGAGTCGAATTTGATTTGGGTGGAAGGCGGATGTGGGAGTGGGGTTTGTAATTTGGGATTGAAGAGCAGGTTTGAGGAGGAGGAGGAAGGGCGGGGATTGAGGTGGTCGGTATGGTGGAAATGAGTGCTTTTTGGGAGAGGATTGTGTGAGATTAGTTAGGGTTGGCTGAGCTGAAGGCTCATGGACTCCCTGTGCTCGAGGAAGTAGCTCGCGGAACGCGTGTGAGTCGTCGGACCATGTCGATCACCTGCGAGCCAAGTAGATGCGCCGTCGCAAGGCGGAGTAGTGTTGTTGTTTCGTCAGGGTGCCAGTACTCACTGTGTTTTCCTCGGAGGCGAGTTTTTCTGCGTGTTCCCTGCCCGAGCGATGTCAATCAGTTCAACGAGGCATCGTCCAGGCTGAGTCTTCAATCTCGTTTCGTAAAATCTCGGAGAACGACCACTGGCAGCAGCTGCAGCAGGGATGACAAGAAGCAAGGATGTCAAACCATCATTTGTCAGAGCGCAGCGGGCTCATTTTCTCCGTCTACGGATGCTGGAAGGCCGTTCTGCTGGCCGATTTCTCTCGCCCCCTTAGCTGCATTAGCTCTAGCTTTTTCCAGAGCAGCTACCTTTATCGTTAACCTACGCGAGGAGATTCTTCAAAGGAAAAATACTGGTGAATGTGCCGAGCGAGAATTTTGCGAAGCTGCGGAGAAGAACTTGCCTTGGAAGCCTGAAATGGTCAAGGCTCTAGCTCGGTCGGGGGGAATAAGCATGGCACTGCTGAGCACCACGGCGCTCGCCAAAGACCATCTTACACCAGTCATCATGACACTGCGAGCGAATCCCACTTTTATGTCGGGGCTTATCGCATGGGCTCTTGCACAGGTCAATGCCCTTCTTACCAAGAATTTTTTCCGTCGCGGATTCACATGCCTTCTGGATTTCGTCGTGGTCTTAACCTCGCTGATTTTTTCGGGGTTTTAATGGATGAGACTGAAGTCGGTTTCCTTTCGGTTTCAGGTGATGAAGGTTTTCACATATTACGTAGTTGTCCGAAAGTGGGACTTCCGGATGGTGATGGGTTCAGGCGGAATGCCCTCGTCTCATTCTGCTCTCTGCTTCGCACTGACCACTTCAGTGGCTCTCGTGCATGGAGTTGCTGACGCTCTGTTCCCAGTTTGCTTAGGGTTCACTCTTATTGTAATGTACGACGCTGCTGGTGTGAGACGACACGCGGGGAAGCAGGCTGAGGTAAACTATCTCATGCACCCATCTGATTTTAATCTGAATAGGTCACTAGCGGATGAGAGTTGCGTGTGCTGCTAGCGACTCCTGTGCTCATGCTTGCTTCACTAGCCGGGCTCATGGAAGACAGGAAATCTTTCAGTCGAGCAAATCTTCATCCTCAAACGTCCCAGCCTTCGAGTGAAAGTCAAAAATCCGTCGAGGTCACATGGACACCAGGAAACCTACCATTGAATGCCATGTGCTCTCATGTCGTTGCCTTAGCAGACAATTAGTTTGAAACAGTTCGGGTGAACTAACAGCTCCAAAAGGCGACCCATGTTTTCATTCGAAAGCAGAGACAGCAGTACCCTCTGTTCTCAATCCTAGTTGTGCAGTCTCCTCAGTAAGTTATGAACGTAAATGCAAGGATTTTGCTCGCGTTGCACAATTGGCGGAGAGAATTGCCCTTCATGGGCTATGTCCGAATCATGTTGAAGAAGTACCTCTGGGGATGGTCTTCGCACGCGTCCACCTTCATAATCCGAAGTAATGTAAAGGTCTCGACAAGCTAGGAACAAGAATCTCCTGGATGACCCACACTTGTAGAAACCTTATATATCAGACATGTCTTGGGCGTTTTGAAAATTCTTGCCGTTGACTTGACAAGAACGATTTCCCAAGGACCAGTGAAAGGAAAAGTTCAGGGATGCGAGCCTGACTAGATGGCCTCAGCCATGGGTATCCGTAGTCAGCTGTACGCTCATTGGGAAATGAACACCCTACGAGGCTTCCCACGAGTTGTTGTGCTCGAGATGTGAGGCATGTCCAGACCAAAGTGAAATACTGATTTACTGCACAGTAACGTACTTCCCTCTCTGTGGAAACCTGTGAGCGCATATTATCTATAGAAACCCAAGAAAATCGTCTTCGACTGAGACGATTACTGACGAGACGATTGCACCACCAGAAAGACTTCAGGAGGGAGGCAGTAGCGTCACTACCTCCTGTTTCTTGCTGGTTCTGCTCCCTCGTTTGGAAGGGTTTGAGGCTATTCCGCTCTACAGATTTCCGCGATACGTTCATGTTCTTGTGTAGATACATGTGATCCGTGCACGTCATTATACACATCCATCTTCAATGTACAGTAGAATTGGCTAACCTGCGGCTGCGGCTCATGTAGCTGGTCCAAATTGTGGAAAACGATGGAAGCTTGACTTTCAGCTTCGTGTTGTGAGTGTGATTTGTTTTGCGTCGTTTGAGATGAGAGTGCCCACTCTTACTTGTCGAATTTCGCTCGATTCATAGAAAAGTATTCTTCTCTGCCCCGTGAACAAACGTCGTGAGGTTGGAACTGAAAAGGCGCCGGTGGTACACCCTTGTCTCGAAAGTGCCTGCTCGAACCTTAGTTGATGCCGTTGACACATTCTTTTGATTCACCCGTGTATCAGAGAGAGTGTTCGTGAAAAGTATCCACTGCGGTTCGTAAGTCTTCGCCTGAACCTCCGAAGAAACGCGCGCTTGACTTTATTTTACGAAGTGCGGACGTTCTATTGTGTGTTTCTAGTTGGGGTTTACTGTCTGATACACCTCAATTGAACCCAACCCCTTCGACATTTTTCCTGTCAGTCCTTTGACATTTGCCATAATTTGACTTTCTAGGAACCGCCTTCAGAAGATCCATAGAAGAATCGTAAGCCCGAGGTAGTGGCATCAAGCACTGCGCACATCTTGTCCATGTTAGGCCTTACCCACCTTCTGTTCATGTCCGATGCTTCTGATGTCTCTTTTCGGATTGTGCGATCAGTTCAGAAACATGCTTGATCTGACTGACATCACGACATCGCATCCTTAAGTCCTCGACGTGGTTCCTGCTCACAGAGTCCCTCCTTGTTGGGTGGGCAGCTTCCGTATGAGATAGATGTATCGCAGTTGTCTGTACTTGCTATCCTCCCCTTGTCGTGATCTTGCGATTACTGGACAACCCTACTACCACCAAAAGGGCAAGAGGTTTCCTGATTTTCTGTCGCTGACATAGGAATTACGGATTTGTACGCCTGCTACAGAGGCTGCTCTGTGAAGACAGAGGTCGTTACAAGGTCTTGGTGATGTAGTTTCTGCTTCGTCTGAGAGTTCTGAGGGAACGAATGGAACACGTCGCACGACTCGGGGCAGGGTGTCTGCCAACAGTTGATGGCGGGAGGGGTACCCACGAGTCATGCCTTCGTTTCTGCAGTGTCTAGCTGCGCTTCATGCGCACCCTCCTTCTCCTCCTCTTTCTCCTCGGACTAGCTAGCTATTCATCTCTTCCTGTATGACGGTATGGCACAGGGCTGACTTGCGTGGAGCTATGTCGTCGAGCATACATGCATCCATTTGGCCTTCCGTCAGAATTTCATTCCCCTGTATAGCGCAGCACAGGCAGATCTCCTTGTCCCCCGGGCTCTCGTTTGCAGATTGCCGTGATATTGCCTGAACTACTAACGCCCCGTGTCAAAGTCCAAATAAAGCAACCACGAACTCCCGAATCGGATGTCGAACTGTGAGATGGGAGCAATTCAAGGGTAGAGTTGAAAGTGACCTGTGTTTTCCAGTTCGGAATGCTTGTTAGCAGCATCTGTTTCAGTCGCGTAATGAACGAGAGGAATCTATCTCTTGGGAGTTGACATTGTGCTCTCTAATTGCAGATCTTGAACATCATCGTGGCGGATATGTTCCAAGGGCACCCTATTAGCGAGAGGAAGCTGAAGGAGCTCTTGGGCCACACACCTCTGCAAGTGTTTGCGGGAGCAGCTCTAGGAATCTTAGTTGGGTACCTGTGCTCTCAGCGCGTTTGAAGGCAGTCCTTTCTCTGCACTGAAGGTTAGCCATGTGGTACAAGTCTATCAGAGGGCTAGTTTATGACAATCTCACTCACCATCCCGGGTACAACTAGTCTCTGGGTGAGATGAAGCGCTGGAAGCTTGTGAGGTAACTTTGTTTAGAGCTGTACCAGATTGTACAGGGCGGGAACCTGAAATTTTGTGTGATCTGTAGAGTACTCATTTTGGTAGGAGTCACGAGTTGCCGTATGTTGACAGAGCCGAAAGGGCAGCGTGGTAGCAAGCAAGCGAGCAACTTTGATGAGAGGAATTTGACGAAAGGCATTTTTATACCCACCTATTTTCAGATTAAAGATTCTGTCGCCTTTCAGATGTACGAAGGCGGATCTTCGTCAATGCAATCGAGTCCCAGGGTAATGACTGTCGTTCTCTACAGCTGTAAAGTCAAGTCCTGAGTCCGTTTGTGCTCTCTACCATCAATTGACAGAATCCGGCCAGTGACGCCAGTCCTTTCACAATCTCAGCCCCATGATTACGACATCATCAGAACCTCTCCGTATGGTCCTCCCGTGGAAAGGAAGAGCTAGCTGGCTGACGTGGCGGGGAATGGGCTCAATTCAATTCCGAGAGTAGGGCATCGAATCTATAGTTCCATTTCCGATTGACTGATTGGTGGAAAAGAAGGGGATCTTGGACTCGTCCACTGTCGACATTTCTACCACACTTGTAACTGAGATTCCGGGGATTCCGAAAGGACAACTGGGAACACAGAAACGACGTCCAGCCTCTGGCGGATCACCCCTTTTTTCTCAAACAGGGGCTGTCTTCCAATCTGTACACGCTCAGCCTTTAAGAGCATGCCCTGACGATCATGATGGGAAACCGAGCGGGCGTTGGGATTGTTTCTCTCGACTCGAGAAAAACATGTTTCTCTACAACCACCCACAGTGAAAGTAGATAAAGCCGGAATGAAGGTGAGCCCGATGGCACTGATGAGCACAAGCGACTGCTGTTGGAAATCTCCATCGGAATCCACTGTTTTAATCCGGATGCCAAATCACACAGCCAAGCCTGGCCAAGCCAACGAGGTATAGCTGAAAAGTGCGCCTCGTGTCAAGGGGGAATTGGATTCTCTTCCACTTCTGAGAAATTAAGAATGGATGATCTGTGGGATTCACATGACCCCATACTATCCGAACCTAGCTACGTGTATCGAGAACACGTGAAATCGGAATCTAACGGGTGGACTTTGTGATTATGGATGTGTCCGTGGCTCGTCGGATTTGCATGTTGCATCTTAGGACGAAGACCACACTAGCAGGCAGGTCCTTTTTCCATGTCCGACCCGAAATACGCAGTTTTTGAGCGAGAGCCGCTCAGCACAGCGTCAGAGGTTCACACGCACGCCTTACAACCAATTTCCCATGAGTTTCCAGAACAGACGACTTGACTCGTTCGAGGGGGACGGGCATCACGAGAAAATCAATCAGGCACTCCCTTTATACGTGCGGGCGGTTGACCGAAGATGACCCCATTCGAGAAGGCACTCGCAAGATTTGATCGCAGAAATCTCGCTTAGACTGAAGACAGATGATGTTGGGTCAGCAGCCGTCGTGTTCCAGGGTGGGGGCCGATCGTTTCTCCTGCGAGAGCACTTTCCGGAAGAAGGCAGGGCGGGCCAGCCAGCCATTCAGCCAGTGAGAAAAATCCTCCGGCCAAAGTCTCTGCCAGCATGCCAACGACTCAGCACCCTCTCGAAGACTCGTTTCTTGTTTTCTGCTGCCACCATCCATCTAATAGTTTGCTTCCGTGGCCTCGGCTATACGACAACTTATCCACGCAGACTCTGGAGTCCGAGACTCTGGGCGACCCAAATCCTTGACGCTCACTTCAGAAGCTTTACAAACCTTCCTTCCTCCCTCCCTTCCTCCCTCCAAGAATGCAGGATTCGTCCCTCCCCCTCCAAGTCCACCACACCACACCCCAACACAACACGTAAATGAAGTGCGTCCACATTGCAGCAGCAGTCCAACCCTGCTGTCCCGTCCCGAATTAGCAGGGAGTGAAATCCATTCCTGCCAGGAAAGGCAAGAGAAGCTGTAGAAAGCAGATCTCTACCACCGTACAGTACCGATCAACAGCAGCTGCGCTAGTATCAACCCTGGCAGCACCACCAGCACCACGCCCCCCTTCTGTCAAAGAGAGAAGGATATCCCACCAAATATTTCCACATCCGCAGCGTGCAGCATTCGAGATCGCAGGAAAGGAAAGCAAGCAAACAAGAGCGATGGATGAAGGAAATGCCGAATCAAGGCCGAGAAGCAAAGAAAGAAGGAGAGAAGGAAGGAAGGAAGGACGCATAGCCTGCCTTCCTGACTGCCTGCCTGACTCCCTGCCTGCCTGCCTGTCTGTCTGTCTACCTATCTGTCTGCTGACTGGTCTTCGTCCTCTGTCATTCCCCTGCAGCAGCAACAAGAGCAGACTTTGAGGGAGAGACGGAGAGAAGAGAGAGAGAGAGGAGAGAACGGAAGGAAGGAAGGAACGAATACGACGACTGAGGGCGATCACGTTGTGCCAATAAATGCGCGGGTGGCCGGCTTTCCATAGGCCATGGAAGCCCGAGCAGCAGCAACTACGGGCCCTGCACCGGAGGACAAGGTCGGTCGGGTCACGGGTGGGCTGGATCGGGTCTCTCCGGGCCCCAAGTTCTCAACATGGCCAGTAATGTACTTCGTCAGTCCGGTCCAGCGAAGCACAGAGACACAGAGAGAGAGAGCAGACAAGAGACGAGACGGGAACTTGGATGGGGATGAGGATGGGGAGCAGCACGGGTCGGGAACAGAGAGGGGCACAGGGGCAGGGGCAGGGGACGGGGAGAGGGGGGGGGGGGGGGCTCAGAGGGCGAGATCTGTCTGAGCTGTGGCGTGGCATCTCTAGGTCCTTGTCACAGGGTGGGGAGGGGTGGGGGAGCGAGAGGGCGGTACTCTGCAAGCTAGAAAACCTGCGAACTAGCGTTCAGACGGAGGATGAAAGTAGTCGCTGACCTCATGATCGCGGCAGCATCTGCAGACGAGGCTTTGTGTTGTTCCGCTCGCGAGAGACAACAGCAGCGACCGCGTTGAGTTCACCACACAAAACCTCGCCTTCTTGATCGTCGGATGCTGCAGCAGCACATTGCACCCAGGCCCCTTGCCTTTCCTTGCCTTCCCTTGCCTCTCCTCTCCTTCCTTTCCTTTCATCTCCTTTCCTTTCCTTTCCTTTCCTTTGCTTTGCTTGCCGTGCCCAGCAGCAGCAGCAGCAGTGGCAGGAGTGGCAGAAGCAGTGGCAGTGGTAGCATGTGCCAGTGCGGTGTGAGCATGTCCGCCTAGGGGAGCCGGGACGGAGCAGCCTGCCTGCCTGCCTGCCTGCCTAGCATGAATAAATAAATACAATAATGATTCGCATTTCTCTGCGCCAAGCTCCAGGCATTTCTCGAGAGAAAGAGCCCTCCTCCTCCTGCTCCAGCTCCTGCTCCTCCAGCCAGATCGCCTCGCGGGCGCTCGTCCTCCTGCCTGCGGCTCTGACTGGGGCAGGCCTCCTCCTCCTCCCGAGGAACGCACGCACTCGCTCGCCCCCGCAATTCGTCGGTGGTGCCTCCACCGAGCAGCGCGAATAGGATCGAGATCCTCACGCTCCGACTCTCTCGGGCAGTGCGCGCATCCTCCCTCGCTCGCGCTCAAGAAGAAGAAGCCTCGGCGCTTCGCACCCGACGGTGCGCGGTGAAGGCGAGACGCAGAGTCGGCGAGGTGACGAGGTCGGAGGAGGGGGCGAGGACGAAGACGACGAAGACGACGAAGACGAAGACGAGAAGGAGGACGAGGAAGCAGGTGCAGGAAAGGGGCGACATTGGAGTCGGGCATGCGGACGGGGTGAAGGGGAGGGGAGGCGCGAGGCGGAGGAGCGATGGGGCGAGCAGTGGAGACGGTGGAGGATGTGGTGGCGCAGATGAAATTGCTGCTGACGGCGGTGCCGCCGCGGCCGAGCTTCGGCGAGGTGGAGGCGGCGAAGCTGGCCATCCGCGACGAGGAGAGCAGCCTGAGCGCCAAGCTCGACGAGCTCTTCAGCGAGCCATGCCCGCCCGCCGTGCCGCCGCGCGTCTTCCGCGCGCTGCAGGAGATGCACGAGAGCGTCATCCGCACGCAATCCGAGGTCCGGCGCAAGAGCCACGCCTTCGTGCTGCAGCTCGAGGAGCGCCACCGCATCTTTGACGACCTCCTGCGCAGGGCCGAATCCGCCCTCGCCCTCGCGCTTGCGCCCGCGCCCGCGTCGAAATTCGCCGCGCCCTCTCCTCCGAGCTCCCTCGTCGCGGCCGCCAGCCCGCTGCGCCGCAGCTCCAGCGGCGGCCCGCTCTCGACGATCGCCAATGAGCGCGCACGCCCCCTGCAGGCGCTTCTTGATCCGCCATCGCCCCCGCGCCCGCCCCCTCCCGCGCCCGCGACCGTCGCGGCGCGCCCCCGCTACGAGCCCGAGGCCGGCGGGCTCCTGGCAAGAACGCAGCAGGAAGGGCGCAGCCTCTTCGAGCGCGGCGCCAAGATCGAGCCCGTCGAGCCCAAGACTAGCGCCGAGCCCGCGCTGGCGCCCTCGAGCGGCGCGGCGGACGAGGAATTGCTGGGCGCTCGATGGCCGCCCAATCTGCTGAGCATTCTGGAGACGGCGGAAAAGGACGGGCAGCAGCCGGAGGCGCTGGACTTCAGCAATGGCGGATACACTTGGATTCCGGAGTCCATCGGAATGTTGGTGAATTTGACATCTCTCGATCTGTCGGGCAATATGCTGTCGGCGCTGCCGGAGTCCATCGGGCTGCTGACGCACCTGACGAGCCTGGACGTGGAGGCGAATCTGCTCAAGTCGCTGCCGGAGTCGCTGGGGCTTCTGACGTGCCTGCAGACGCTCAACATCGAAAAGAATTCCATCGAGGAGCTGCCGTGGACCATCGGCAAGTGCACGGCTCTGGTCGAGCTTCGGGCCGACTTCAACCAGCTCAAGGCTCTGCCGGAGGCTGTAGGGCAATTGCGGTCGCTGCGAATTCTCTCCGTCCATCTCAATTGTCTGAAGACCCTGCCCACCACCATGGCGTCTCTCACCAGCCTGACCGAACTCTATGTGCACTTTAACCAACTGGACACTCTTCCCGAGAGCATTTGCTCGCTGACGAGCCTCCAGAAACTGGACGCGTCGTCGAATTTCTCCGATTTCCGGTCGCTGCCTCCGTCCATCGGCAATCTCCAGGGCCTGCGCGATCTGGACTTAAGTTTCAACCATCTCTCGGTTCTTCCGGACTCGTTCGCTCAGCTCACGAATTTGCGCAGACTCAAGCTGGATGGCAATCCGTGGCGCAGTCCTCCCCTGGAAGTCGTGGCCGAGGGTCAGCAGGCGGTTTTGGAGTACATGGCCAAATGGAAAGAAAGGGATCTCGAGGAGAAGGCCAAAGAGTCCGTAAGTTGGAACCCTCTCTCTGTAGTGGTTAATTTTTTAAGAAAATGCAGTCGGCCCAAGGTCGTCCAAGACAACTTTTCAAAGATAACAGCATGATCAGCATTTTGGGTCCAGTTCTCTTGAGGCATCCGAACACTGCAGGCTCCAGAGACTAGAGACCGGAGTCTCGACGATCGGGCTCGTGTTCTGCGGACGGTGTGTGTACTTGTGTCTCTAGGCCTTGCTTGCGATCGGAGCTTTGCTATATCGAAATCACCGTCGAAATTCGGGCAATATTTCGGATAGACGAACGACTCTGGTGTGTATGTATGTATACATTCTTCCACTGGGTGGGTGAGTGAGTGAGGACACTGAGTGAAGCAAGGTCAGCGGTCTTCCTGAAAGTCCTCATCCTGGCCTTTTGTCGGATCCAGTGGGTCCGATCCAGCCTCTCATGTACATTTATTGTAGAGCCCTGTAAGCCGTGCATGGAGAAGAAAGAGATGTGTTCCGATCTTGGATTTCAGGATTAGCATCCCACAACAAGAGGTTCACTCTGAGAAGCAGATCAGGAGCAGCCCAGGGAGCAGCACCTGCAACTTCACCAACCCCGAGGTTTCATTTCATCAGCAAGTCAGTCAGGGTCTAACAGGAGGATGTTAAGACTCTGCCGCTGCACAGAGAGAGAGAGAGAGAGAGAGAGAGAGGATGTTAAGACTCTGCCGCTGCACAGAGAGAGAGAGAGAGAGAGAGAGAGAGAGAGAGAGAGAGAGAGAGAGAGAGAGAGAGAGAGAGAGAGAGAGAGAGAGAGAGAGAGAGAGAGAGAGAGGATGTTAAGACTCTGCCGCTGCACAGAGAGAGAGAGAGAGAGAGAGAGAGAGAGAGAGAGAGAGAGAGAGAGAGAGAGAGAGAGAGAGAGAGAGAGAGAGAGAGAGAGAGAGAGAGAGAGAGAGAGAGAGAGAGAGAGGTGCATTGCGATGCTGGACGAATTGTGGAGGAGTTCTAGTTTTGCTTCGATGAGGTGGGGATGGGAGCGTGAATTCCCATTAACGTCCTTGCTCGACGACAGCAGATAGTCTACGGGAGGCCGAGAACATCAATTTGACACTCTCACCGTCGGCCTATGTACAACACTGATGCAAGGAGGAGAGGAGAGTTATGCAGCAGGTGGGGGTTTGAACGAGACAACCATGTGATCCCAGGGCAGAGAACTCTACCGGAGATGGGTGAGACGCCGAAGCACGCCTCCTACGCAGGCTGCTGAAGAACATGCATTTACCTCTCGGAAGAGGCACTTTCGCGTTCAGCTCCGAGAGGTTCGTTCGATTAATCCGCCGAGATCAAGATCGGGCTTCAGTTTCGAGTGATTGTCTGCGATCTCGTGGTGGCAAGGAGGTTTAGATTCTGCGGGCCGAACCAAGTCATCACCTATTATTCCGAATTGTGCTTGATGGTCTATTTTTGTGACAAGGACCGGGAAGTCGCCAGGGAGAAGCCGATCTCCGCGTATAGAGTGCACAGATGCGGGGCTGTAGATCTGTCTGTACATTGGCAGGAGTAGGCAATCTGTACATCGTGCAAGCAGAATGGCTCGAAGAAATGTGCTTTCTGGTTTCTTAGGGTCGTTACTACCAGAGTCCGCTGGTGTTTAGATGTAAGTTCAAGTGTTTGACAAAAATCCCAACTTTGTCCAGTTGGGTGCAAATATCTTCAGAGCAATAAAAAAACTGGACGTTCTGTTGTTTCTCGCACACAATTCCTCTCGCTCATGCAGAGCTGCAGAAGTTTTTCTCCATTTCAATTCGCACCAGGAAAACCTTGTGCCCTCCATCATTGAAGCACTATTGGATTGCGCCCGGCCACCTGATGCACTCTTCCCAAGTCGTTGATTCTGTTCGAGTGAGCCATACCTTTTATCTAGGGAGCTCATCGGCCTGAACCCGAATGTACTAAAATTGCTCTCTTCAGATTACGGCTCTATAGTTAAGAGGGAAGGTTTTCCACCAGGGCTGGTCGTTAGTTCATCGACGAGGTGGTCGACGAAGAGGAGACAGAGTGAGAGAAGCTCATTCTGCCTGGGCAGGGCTTTCCAGCACCACATTGGGACCATATGCACAAGCAGATGGGCCGGATGGAACAACGAGGTTCAGGATGTCGTGTTCACTCGGGCGTGCATCGTTCTCGCAGAGCAGGGACTCACCTAATCTACGCCAGCCCGGACGTCACTGCTTCAATTGGTCAGTCACATCGCCCGTTCCAGAGCCATGGCTAGCACTAGGACTAGGACTAGGACTGGCTCTAGCACAAGCACTAGCTCATCAGTGAGCGAGCGCTCAGCGACAGAGATCGAGAGCGAGAAGTGTGTGACCTGGCGAAGCATCCGCAGAGAGGAGCAGTTGGGGGCGCAGGCACGGGAGCAGGCAGCGCATGCCGGTTGCCGTGATCCGGGCAGAAGGTTCTAGACGAAGCATGCCAACCCAACCGCTCGAGGCTCGCAGAGGTCAACTGTCAGAATCCGAGACACGGAACATTTGCCGTGCTTTTGCTTTCTCTCTCTGTTTCTCTGTCTCTCGATGGATCAATTGAATCATGGCCAGGGAGGCCCAACAGTCTGTCCCTCGTCACGGCACTCGATCGCATCCTTCAATTTTTCACTCCCTCGCTCTTCTGCTTCACGTCTTCACTGCTTCCCTCACATGGATCGCAGAGGTCAGCCATCGGTGTCCGTCTCTCGACCCTCTCCTTCCTTCGCAGCTATGGCACTAATCCCAGATTGGGCGCCACTGGCCACCATGTCAGAAATGTCCGGGACTAGGAGAAGAGCGAGAGCAGAGAAGGAATGGCAAGTGCGGCGCAGGCGATCGATCGGAGGCGTGCCCAAATCGGGAAGCGCAGGGCGAAGAGTTCGCATGCTCCCCGCCTCCTGAAATTGGAGTCTCCCACGAGCTCAGGATTCGTCCGCTCGCTGCCCGGAAACCGAAGGTCAAATCAGGCACGCCGGGCGAAATATCGCGGCGTGCTGACTCTGGCGGATGGGAACCCGTCCACCGCAGCAGCAGCAGCAGAGTCTAGGCCGAGGTGTCGTCGTCAGCTACAGCTAGCTGACTGAAACGAGCTCGCGACCCTTAACGGGCCGGGTTGACGTGGCGGATCATGGCATGACGTGGCAGGGCAGGTGAACGAAAGCGAGTTTTCGCACGCACACCTCGTCCACCACGTCCGCGAAGTCGCCGGCCGGACGGCGGACCGAGGCCAGCCCCCGGCCGGGAAAGTCTGGCGAGCGGATGGATCGTGCTCCTCTTCTGCCTCCACGTCGCTTTCGTCCTCGACCTCGACGATGACGCAGCGGATCGACGAATCGCGTTCGCAGCGAATGAAAATCGAAGCTTTCCTTCCCGAATCAGTGTTTAGTTCAATTCAATTCAGTTCGGATCAGTTCAGCTCGACAATACGCAACGAACTCTTCTTCTCCTTCTTCTTCTTCTTTGGATTCAGGTCAATCGAAAGGGAGGGAGGGAGGGAGGGAGAGAGTCTTTCGCATTCTTCTTCGTTCGTAGCTGCTTTTGGAATCGATTAATTTTCTATAAATGAATAAGAACACAATGTCCTCGTCTTGGTCTGTCTATCTGTCGATGTCGATGCCGAAGAATTTGCCTCCGCTTCGCTTCGGTCCATCCTGCCGGCTTTAATTGCTGCCATCTTTCGGCCCCGCGTGGCTAGTGCGTGTTTAGGTTGGTGCCGGTCTGGCTCTGGCTCGGATCTCGGATCCGAGCTCGTCCTGTCCTTATAAATAAATCTCTCGCTCTCTGCTTCTTCGATTCGCTTTTCTTGCTCTCGTGTTTTAGGGCTGCTCTCCGCTGATCGGGTTTGACTCTCGCGCCTTCTCGGGGCAGGGCGGACTAATTCCGTAGCTCGAGGGTCTGTGAACATCTGGCGGCCTATTTCGGGGCCAATCGCGCCCATGCTCCGATGCTATTTGCGGGGCGAGGGACCGGGACCTGGAGTCGTATGCACGTATCCATTCTTATTCATGCACCATCCGCGAATTCCTTGTTCCCGTTCGTGGGACGGAAGTCGGAACTCTCTCTCGGCAAGCGCAGTCTTCGGCTCTACGCTCAATTTCAGCGCCGCTTTGAGGGCCTTTCGTTTCCTGAACCTCTGGTTCGAGGATGGAGTGGGAGTTTGAATTTAAAATGCATAAAACGAGATGATTGACAGGAATGCCTCACATTCCTGTCACTGCTGCGTTAAATATAGCTGCGTTGGGTTGGGCGTGTATTCGTTGATCCCCCATTCTGAGCCTTTCATGCACGTAAAGTGTTCTCGTGGGGAGAATCCTCTGGGGATAGTCCGGGGCCCCTTTCTCGTGCCTATGACAGCTTCAATGCGTTTCCATTCCAGCCCGAGGTAGATTTCTCTATCTTGGACCGTAGCTCCCAGAATAGCCTCTTCTCGCTCGACATGCTTGGCATCGTGGTTGTGCCAACTGCCGCTGAAATGAAATAATCTGATCCTGGAACCTTCATTCGGATCAGACTGGCCCATGCCCTGCCTGGCCCAGCCAGCTGAGAGCCCAGACCTTCTGGGCCCAATCAATGGTGCCCGGGGGTGTGCATGACTTCTGTTTCCTTCAACGTCGTCCTTCTGGGGGACATTTGGCATCCCAGCTCAAAAAACTCAGTTCTGCTGAGATGGGATGGGATGGGAGGGGATGGCAGGGCATGGGATTGCCAGATTCTTGTCACTAGATTCTCGCTACGGTTTTTGTGTTTGGTCGTTTGTTAGAGCCAGCGTGTTTGATCTGGTTCTGTGAGGCAGTAGGGACATGAACAAGCCATCGCATCCTCTCTGTAACCGGGGACATCCGGCGGACAAGACCAGTGGAGAGATGATTTGACCGAACATACAAATGTCGTCCATGTGTGTCAATTGATTGTCTCATCAGTCAGACTGCGTATGCATCCATCAGTCTACAAGCCGAAGATTTTCTCAACTATCCGGGCAAAAAAAAATGAGGCGTGACAGTGTGGGAATGGATGCTGAGCCTGAGAGTGTTGCAGAAGGGAAGTAAGCTTGTGTCTGCACGTGTTCACGTCATGATTCCTTCTGCTCTCGAACCGCTCAGTGATCTAGGTCGTTTCGCCGTGAGTGTTCTCTGACTGCAGGTGATGGACTTGTACTGCCCTTTAGAGTTGGAATCCTTGGGCCTACTTTACACTAGGCTCTACAGATTCACTGCTGCCTGGGGACTAGGCCCTGGTCCTCTGGATCTACGAACTAGTGTGACGACACCCCATGAAGTCACCCCATGAAGTCCTCAATATCGCCTTTAATTGCTCAGCTCCAGCCGGGCCAGTGTTCAAGCTACAGGCCTGCTAGGTGGCCCTAAGGCAGTCAAGAGGCAAAGGCACTGTAAGGAAGGAAGGGCTACTGAGTTGCTGGTCGCTTTCAATCCATGCACAAGCGCGTGGAGGGTTTCGCAGTTCTGAGTGATAGCAAAGTAAGAGTACTGTATATGCTATGTCTTAGACATGACTGTGAGGATAGGATAAATTACAGTGCTCATACTGACATCGGTGCACGAGACAAATCCAACTGGTACTGTCTAAAGATATGATTGACGGCAGGACGTCACTCTTTGCACGTCCGTCTCATGTGCGTACTCTTTTCTGCAAACGTCACGTCGACCTCTGTTTCATCGGTATTGTTCCACGTTCCACCCATCCTTCAAGCTCGATAAGGCAGGCACTCGATGTGCCCACCAGTCGGCAATGATCGATGCTCTCCAAATCCGAGTCTCTGCCTAAACTTGTACGTGTTGCTTTGAGAGCTTCATAAGGAGCTCTCAGTGTTTGTGGGTTTGAAAGAAAAGATTCTTTTAAAGTTAAGTTCGAACATAATTACGCCTGAGCTGCTAAAGACAATCACGTATAGAGTGCGTTATTACGCCTCAGGTGTGACGGAAGACTCTCTGACTGTCTCGTGTTTACAACAAGATCGCAAGTAAGACTTCGTGCAAGTGATTATTACAAAATAGAGGAGCAAGGGAGGACAAGGGGAGTCGAGCATGGAGCAATAATGTCCAGAGGACATAATCGGATTAGCCTCTACAGTACAATTGTGAACTCTTGAACTTGGAGTTCAGACGTAACTCTCATTCAGGAACTGCGACCTGACGTGGTTATACAACCTCTCGTGTTTTCCAGCAGGACCAAACCCAAAGAAGCATAGATTCATACTATCACTATGTGGCAGATTACCGAAAGTGCAACCGGAGAGCATTCTTTCGTAAATATGACTTCGAGTATTTCGCTGATCGGCGTGAAAACAGTCTTCATGACCTTTTGAATTACGTCGCGCCAAGCTCATATTACTTCTAGCAGAAAGGAAACGAGAAGTGAAGAGTCTTCCTACAATTGTGATCCACTGAATGACCTTCACGGGTCAGAAGGTTTCGACAGATACATCAGCACATAATGTACAGAAATTGTAGATATTATTAAGTGCCCGCCTCCCCTACCTTCTTAAGGAAGGAGCACAAAAGATCTCACATTCAAGTCACTCCTCGGCAACGAGAGAGCTCTTCAACTCAAAAAAATCAGCTCATGGAAATTACTCGTTCCAATATTTTGTTGTTGCGAACAATCTTCGTCTTCTGCTACATACTTTAATTGCATAATTTCTTACTTGCTCGTCTGCAGTTCGATCACACCCACGTGGCAAAAATGCCCTCTTTTGCCTTTCGCTGAAGGTCTTTGATCGCACTATGAAGCTCACCTTGTCAAGACGACCTCCACCAGATAGTCCTGCTGCTCCTGCAAAAGTGGATCAGACAAGAGCCACTAGTGCTTAGTTCCAAAACACCAACTTTTGTTCGTGCAACACTGTGTTTGTAAGGGAGAATGCACACGTTTGTAGTGAGAAAGATGTCGGTTATGATGAGGTCTTCACCAGAAGATCTCATGTTCATAAACAGTCGGTGGTTCAGTCCATAACATGTGAGGTTTCACACAAAAGCACTCACACCTCGAACAAGAGGGAACCAACCGTCCGGCGTGCTCAGTTCGATCAAGTCCCCGAACCTCCCTGTTCATCCAGACAAACATCAGACTTCAGACTCTGCGTTCCAACGACTCAAGACTCCAAAGACTTTTTCAGCATTTCGTGGATTCATGGGCCAGCAACTAACACATTCCACGGGCAAATGCAATACCTGGAGACCCTTAGAGATGAACCCACTGCCCATTCTCGATTAGCACCGAGAGACCGGCCATGCTCCACCGTCGCTGGACGCTCATGTCGAAAGATCACCTTCCACTCTTTCTATACAGCTCTTCCCCGTCCATGCGAGACTCTTGTCGAAGTTGCTCCCAAATGTCCTTAACTTTCACCTGATAGTTGGATTGGACCCACGACATGATCTCTGAGTACAAAAAATGGGCATCTTTGGTCCAGCAGTCTCGAAGACTGGCTCTTGTGTCGACCATATTACTACTAAGCCTGTGTAGCAGGTCACTGACTCGCTTGAGTGCCTGTGATTCCGGTTTAAGTATTATACTGGGATCATTTGTGAGACAGGAGTGCAGAGAACTAAAAGAAGGAAGAACTTTTCCTTGCAGTAAGGCACTGGCGAATACTGCTGTCCGATGCTTCCCCTTTTTTAATGGCATCTTGTGGAGAGGAAGTTCCCACACATGCGTTCCGAAGTTAGGGGTAACCCAACACATCACCTCATCGCCCAGTTGGTCGTACCATGGTGCTGGATCACTTAAGGGTTTTGAGAAGGTACATAGTGCTTCGGCTTGTCTGACCAGCCACGTGGGTTCCACTGCGGAAATTCGTTGCATGTATATCCTGGAAGTGTTGACAAGCTCGTTGTACACCACAAAAGCTGGAGCCTCCTTGCACACGACCGATGTAGGATGTAGGAAAATGGGCTCTTCCAGAGAACAACCTCGATAAGCCACAACTTTCCGTTTGTGTCGAGCATCAGGTATCGCCGCTCTTTCCTGCAAGCTCAACTTGCGAGAAACCTGGTCGGCCCATCCAGCACATATTGCTTGTCTGATTAGTGCTTCCTGTTGTTGATTCAGGCTTTTTTCAGACGGTTCATGCCAGCAAGCTTCACTCTTGGCTAAAATATCACCATTCCATACAAGGTCACCTCCATCGGGAACTTCAGTCACACCCAGTTTAGTTTTGGAGTCAGAAATGTTGCTCATGACCAAACCCCATAGCTGTTTTCGTAGCTTCGACATCTCGGACATAGTTTTGCTATGCAGGTAATGACTCTGGCAAAACTGCTCTGGATTCTGAGCTTGGTCATAAGCTCTCAAAGCATTGGCAACTGATATTGCATCAGATGACATGTTCTTGAACTTTGAATGAGCTAAACCTGCTTTAGCTCTCCTCAATTTCCTCCTGGCCTTTTCCGCAGCTACCATCCAGTCTTGTTGCTGTTCCGCATTCGAGTGGAAAACGTCGGCTTCATCTGCAGTACCGCTCGCGACTGCCCCATATTTATGGCGCACGGGTTCGACTGTGGGAGCTTCTTCTTCCTCTTCTTCTGTAATACCCGCTTCCCTCAAGAAAGGATCATCCAGACTAAGAGCTGCAGCTACAGCAATAGCATACGCCAACGCCAGACTTACATCGGCTTCTTCCGCCTTCAGACAAAGCTCCTGGGCTTCCTGAACTGCGGACAATAACATTCGAGAATGTCGAGGACTGATGGGATAATTTGCCATAGCCTGACCCATCGGAGTCAGCAAACCTGTCCGCAAGTTCAAGGCGGACAATGATTTCAAACATTTCTCCGCCTCCACGACTGCTGCTCTATCGGGAGGTGTAGGGAACGGGAAATTCGCCACCTGCGAGAGCATGACAACAGCGAGACTGAGTTCCCTCAATGCAACGGATGATTGGAAGAGGGAAGAACCTCTAAAAAATTCCAAAACAAATGCCCAGAACTTTATGCGTACCTTGTCGATGCCCATGCACTTCATTACCAGTACCACACCTTCGATTGGTGACTTGTGAATTTCTGGTCTACCGAAGGTGGGAAAACTGTGGTTGAAGTGAGCGGAAGAATAGAGTCGATAACAATGCCCAGGACCTGTCCTACCTGCCCTGCCAGCTCTCTGATCTGCGGATGCCTTACTTATCCACTGCACCTCGAACCTGGAGACTCTACTGAATCGATCGAACTCCTTCTCTTTCGCCCGACCACAATCGACTACGTATCTTATCCCAGGAATTGTGATGGACGTTTCTGCCACATTCGTTGCCACTACAACAAATCTTCTCCCCGCCGGCATATCGCTAAACACTTTCAATTGAGCTGCAGCTGGTAACATGGCATAAAGAGGCAAGACATGTAAAGGTCCAGGTTCTTTGCTTTTATCATCCTTGCTTTTGAGGTTCGGTTCCGATTCTTCTTTACTTAGATCTTTCAGTTCAAATGATAAAGAACATGAGTCCTTTTGCTCGTGAGAACCTGAAACTGCAGGACCGATTTCAACCTTTGCCTCTGTGGGATATAACTTCCTACGAAGTTTTTCCAAAATATCTTCTTCTCCTAAAGGTTCATCATCGCTAGCTTCCAAGTCACTCTCATCTTCACTTTCAGACAACTTGTCATACTGATCATCCCCACTCATTCCATCCTCCTCGGTGTTCATCCTTCGACCATCAACTGGACTATCTTCGTCCATAGCAACGCTGATTTTATCCATGTTGAGCCCACCAAATGTATCCGCCTCCACAGCTTCATTTCGGCCGAGAACATCTTTGAGATCATTAGCGTCACTTGCAGCTCCACGGGCGCCCTTAGCTCTACCAGGTTGAAATGCCTTCCGAAGTTTCTTGCAAAGATCTTCGACCTCACGCTGCCCTGTCAGGAACACTAAGATTCCCCCAGGAGGAAGCTTGCGATGGATAGCACACACCTTCTTGTATGCTGCGCCCATGTAGTCTATAAGCTCTGTCTTCTTGCTAAAGTGTACAGAGACTGGAAATTGTCTGGCAGGTACTCGTATTACTGGAGGCGGAGTGGGGAACATCCGAGAATTTGCTGTAAAGTCTTCCACACGCAGCGTAGCACTCATAATCACCAGTTTGAGAGGCGTCACGAGACCACTTGGCTCCGTTCGTCCACCTCCGACGTTCAATTTCTTTCGAGCTTTGGCATCTTGATCATACAGTTTCTGTGATCCCACCACATACAAATCAACCAAGCAGATTCAGAGATTCGAATGATGATATATTTAAGAAAGGGCAAACGAAAAGAAGCCTGCTGGTTATTGAAATATTTTTTTCTTACACACGATAAGCGGTGATATTTATTAACAGACTCTGTGTTCAATCTCTTCTTTGATTGCGTTGTTTCCAAAAATTTCAACGAGTACAATGACATGTGATCCCACGCAGCGGCTTTACAGGCAAGAAAAATGAAGGGCAGGAACATGAGAACGAAAAACATGAGGCTCTATCTCTCCATAGCACGATGCATTGGAATTTATCAAGAACTCCTTTGTATATCTATCCGAGACTGTACAGCCGAGGTATGTACAGCTTGAACGACCTAAACTGGAATATCTCCCCAGGCTAGGCAGAGAAAGCGTATTGATGTTTGCACTCCGTCCGCACGTCAACCTGAGTATGTGATACTAAGATCACCAGGACTAGTGGAAAAAGAAAGAGTGCAATGCAGTGTAACCTTCTGAGATGATCAATATCTTTCAATCTCCATATCTTTAAGCAACGCATTAGTATTGCACGACAGCAGGCATCAGGAGCAGCAAGAAAAGAAGGATCTCCTTATCTGATAGGCGATCCTTGTTCCAGACCACCAGTTACTGTTAGGTGATACAATTTGCGATATGCATGCAGGACACATTAGAGGGGCGATTGTCGAGATACAGATCTGTCATGAGAGGAATGAGTATCCTCTTATAACTACTTGCCTTCCGGCTGGACTTGACCTTTATGGCGTTTTGCTTTTTCTTTCAGAAGGTTTTGCCATCGTACTTTCCAGCCCCATGCGTGGCTTGCTCTTACTTAGGAATGTTAGTAGGAATGATTCTCTTCTCTAAAATGATTTCCTGTTTGAAATTCACTCTAAAAAGAGCAGGTTTGAATCATCTTTTCTGAATCTAAATCCTGAAGGCAAAGTTGTACACAAAGTACTGAGTAGTTATCTGCTAAGGCATTTGCAAAAAACACTGCGCAGCCAGTAAACCAAGATACTAGCGGCTAACTACCAGATCTGGCGGTAAAAACTTTTTCATTTTCTTTGTTCTCTGACATAACCGCACAGTTTCTACTGTTCTACCTTGAATCAGGAAACGCCTCTTGCCAGTAACCGGCGTTGCTCGTTAACCACTTAGGTGTGGCATTCAAGGGATCTCAAGCCGAGATGAAGCAGATCACTACTTCAGTCCTCTTCGTAGGGTCTTGGCATGGAGGCTCTTTCTTCTTTCGTTCGTCCTCCGCATGAGACGGATTGAGATAATGGACCAGACAAGACTTCATATACTTCAAAGTTTCCGGTCGTCACTTGGTGGCATTCATTACTAACATGTGCGAAAACTCTACTTGACGGAGCTTATGTCTGTGAAAATCACCTGACGAAGTGGAACGACACGCGAGAGCATCCCGATAAGAATATCGGTATTCAGGCTCCGCTCGTGAGCTTCGTCGAGCACGATAGCAGAATATTTCCTAAGCAGGAAATCTCCCTACAAGCCACTGACCCAAAAGTTAGATATTGATTGAGAGACACGTGAATGAATACATAAGATAAAGTTAGACAAAGCTCAGCAATCAAGACGCTCTCTACCTGTAGTTCTCTCAAAAGAATTCCGTCGGTCATGAACTTTATGCTGGACTTTTCGCCCAGTTTACGATCGTGGCGCACTTGAAAGCCAACTTCTCTACCAAGTTGTACATTCAATTCATGAGCCACCCTCCGTGCAGTTCCGAGTACAGCAACTCGTCTGGGTTGAGTGACGCCTATCATCCCTCCTCGCTCGTTGTTAAGGCCCGAACCATACCCAGCTTCATACAAAAACTGCCAAAACATATGACTCCATTCGATGAGAAGCTAGAAAAGCGAAAGGCATCCTTGCGATGCAAAACGTGCGAGACACTTGACTACAAGCGCAAAATATCATGTGGGTGGGTATTTGTGTCGACATACTTGAGGAACCTGGGTCGTCTTCCCACAACCAGTCTCTCCGCACACAATCACTACAGCATTGTCTTGGATTGCCTCCATGATTTCTTGCTCCATCATCACGATCGGCAAATTTTCACGACCTTTCTCCACATCGTCTGGTCTGGTGACGTGAACCACGAAACTGGAAGTTTTCTTCTCAGGAGCTGTACACCTCACAACAGATGGCCCTTGTACATCTTTGAACTCACTTTCGAGCTGGACGATATTTCTGTGAGATACCTCCTCATAATTGCTAGAACCCAGTTCATTCTTGAGCTCTGTCATTTGTTGGGCCCCAATTTCATCCTCGACTATTTCGCCATTACTCTTTCCTTCCTTGATTCTCTCTTTCTTCGGCTCGGTCTTCGTTTCCATGGATGTTGAAACCATCTCACGGTTCTCCCTTGTTACTTCTTGGCTCCCGTATTGAAGAGGGTCATTTCCAACTTCAGCCTTTCCCTTCTTCCTCTTCTTTTTCTTCGGCTTCTTTTTGTCCGTCAACTTCTCAGAGACTGCGTCCATCTCCTCGTTCGGGTCCAACAGTTTTTCAGCCACACTTTCCACACGGCCCCCCTTTAATTGTGCAGGGGGATCCTCCAATTTACTACCTTTCCTCTTTTCCCGCTTCCTGTTTCGTTTGCCATGCGATTGTGCGTGCGCTTCTCCGACTTGTGAATCATCCATCGCTCCTTCTCTCTCGTGGGCGGATGAGCCCTCAAACTCAGCCTTTCGCTTAGCCAGCCCTCTGGCAACATTGCCTGCCATTCCTGTCAGCAAAAGTGACCTCTCATTCCAAAGTACAAAACTGCATCCGGCAGATCGCACTCCCTGCACAATGAGCAAATTCAACACCCGCTATCAAAGTTGAGTGGACAAAATTCAGAATCCTTCGGAATTCACTGCAGCGGCAGAAGGTCATCGAGATGAAGGAACAAGTTGCCGGCATTGACATGAATCTAGAATAAGCAGAAGTGTAGTGGTTCGCCCTCTGTGTTCATCGAGCTGCCTCAGAGGAGACCATGAGGGACAAAGGGCAACGAGAAATCTCTGACCTCCTCTACACCTTCAATCTCTCGACCGAACCGGTGTCCATCGGTGAGGTCAGCCACCGATACTCATCCGCCAAACAAATTCGTCGAGAAAATCACCCCAAAACACAATGCGCCACCGATTCAGGGTCGGAGAAGCAGCTCTGCACAGCCATCCCATAGACAAAAGCAAACGATGGCAGGCAGCCACATCGACACCTCCTCCACCTCGTCGAGAATTGCTTCCGCAAACCAAATCGCCCACTCCCGATCAAAATCACACGTCGGGGAAAATGAGCTCCCCCGCTACAAAAATTTACCCGAATTTCGAAGAGGTGCTGCCCCCACCAGACGCACACATGATCAAAGCCTCGAGCTCGCAATGGCAAAATCCTCTCGTCGTCTGCGATCGCCTCATCCACTGATCCCGAGTTCCTCTGAATCTAAACCCCCGGGCGCTAAACGCTAAACCCTGAGCCCCGGGAGGGCATTAGGGCAGGAAGGAGTCAGGACGAGCTTCGGGTGACCCGGCATTTTCCGAGCGGGTTCCGGGATTCGGGTGCTCTGAGGACGGAGACCTGCCAGTAGGCTTGGCCACGGTCCGGTCCGGACTGGCGGTTAACCGGTTAACCGTCGGTCCGGTTTAACCGGTCTCAATTTTCATTTTTCATTTTTCTCAATTTTCAAGGTACATTTTTTGGCACACTTTCTGCATTTTTAGGTACCAAGAAATGTGGATTAACAACCCAGCAGGAGTCAAATGTCGCTATCCTAATGTGTGCATAATCTGCTAAAACCCAAGATGAAAGGATCGTTGTGGACTCCGTTACCATTACCATTACCATGCGAGAACAAAACGCCTCTCGAATAAAAGGAGAGGTCAGCAATGCTGGGAGCCAGTTGGTTTCCAATCATTTTGGCGTAATCAATCATCCACTTTCTGCCATATTAGCTTCAAGCATCACATTCCATCATTGCGGACAAATATTAGGAATTCTGGAAAAAGTTTGCTCCTAAAATATGGACCGGTTAACCGATCGGTCAACCGGTTAACCGGTCCACTTTTTTCTGAACCGGTTAACCGTTAACCGGACCGTGGCCAAGCCCACCTGCCAGCGCCGATGACGGGCTCGAGGCTAGGGGATGGGGTTTAGGCCGAGCGGTGCAGGGGCGGGCGCGAGAGCTCGGGGCTTCGTGACAGATATGGCGAACACGAGGTGCGAGGCGTGAGCGAGGGTAGGAGGAGCGATGATGGTGCTGTTGTTGCGGGCGCGAGATCTGCAGGCCGAGTAGGGGGATGGTGCGAGAGGTCGACGAGGTGCGCGGTGGGGGGATGCGAATGTGGATTTGATTTATATGATGTGAGGAGAATTTTTTTACAGGTCGGTAGCGATGGCGTCTGCCCTTCTGGCCTCGCGCCATTCTTTCTTCGCGGCGCGAGGGCCTTCGTCGTCGACTGGTTTGGTTTTGGGGGCTTGTAGTAGCGTGGATTCCTCCGTGTGCACTTCTCCTGCCGAGTTTTGGGCTCGGAAAGCGATCGGGAGCGGGAAGGGGAGCGGGAATTGGAGTCATGATTCGAGTGCGTCCTTTGTGCGGGTCCGAAGCTCGCAGGAATTCGGAAATTCTTGCAGATTGTCAGAGAGCCGAAGGTGTCCTCTGCCTTCGGGATTTTCATTGAGACTGCGGAGGAAAGTTTCAGGGAACCGGTCGAGAAATTCCTTCGAACCTTCGGAGAATGGAAGAGAAGGAGCTCCTGCTCGTGCTTATTTTGGCCATCGAGAATCCATGGCAAGGGAAGACGAGAGTGGGGCCGAATCCAAGAGGATTACGCTCCCAATTTTGGGCGAACTACCATTTGACGTTCCGGACATCGGCGAGATCACGCCGAAGAAAGTCGCCATTTGGGCAGCGCTCGCAGCTCTCGTGTACGCCACCTTGAATTTCATCGCCAGTAGAACCGTATTCAACCCCAAATTCTGGACTTACGCGTCGTGGATTCTGGTCGTGTGGCCGATGCCCACTGCAGTGATCCTCGGGCTGGCCTCTCTGGTGACTGCGTTCCGGGTGACGAAGAGGAAACCGAAAGAATGGGAACAAGTGCTGCTGCTCGTGGGCTCTCTGGTCTGGCTGATTTTAGTGCCAGTCGGACGATTCCAGGGCTTCGTCGATGGCTGGCCCACAATCCTCTTCTCCCTCTACGCAGGATTCTTTCTGATCAGTGCCGTCGTGCGGTACCGACTCTATGGAGACTTATCATCCAAGGCCGAGGACAAGCAGTGGGCCAACACCACGTCCCGCTCATGGCAAGTTGGGTTCGTTGCAAGTGTGGCTGCAGGTCACTGGCTTGCAGCTTGGGAGGCCCCATTTCTCGCACTCAGCTGGAATTTTGGACCCAGAAGTCAGCTGGCTGCAGCAGTTTTAGTTCTGGCTGTGGTCACCCATTACAATGCAGCTTATTATTTAGGAAAGTATTTTGACAGATTGGTGAAGCCCCGTGCTGTGGTGATGTTCGGACCTTACCGATGGGTTCGGCATCCCATCTATGCCAGCTACATGCTGTTGTTCGTGGGTTATTGTTTAGCACTGAGATCCTACAAGAGCTTGGTGTTCATGCTCGCCGCTTGCATTGCTTATTACGAGCAGAGGACGAAGATTGAAGAGGAGCAACTGGTGGATACTTTCGGGGAACTGTATACAGGTTACGTAGAACGGGTTCAGAACAAGTACTTCCCCTTCTTATACTGATACGGAGCTCGTCATCAAGACCAATAATGTCAACGAAATGAGAATTTCAATGTCAATTAACAATCATTCACATGCATCTGCATCTGCTCGATAATCATTTCTTTTGTTTGATAAGTACGTTCTGACCTTTGTAGCAGTTTGCAACTCGTGATCGATTTCTCTCGTTGTGGTGAACTTTTCTTACAGTCTGACAGAGTTGCAGTCCATCATTTCTTCAAGTCTTGCCCATGAAGTACGACAGTATGTATCTGTTTGGAGTATCCGTGGTGCCCTTGTGTGCACTCTGTAGACTACGCTCTCCTTCTGCGAGTTGAAGCACCTGTGAGCTGCTTCTAATAGGCCCTAGAATTCTGATAGGATTTGCAATGAGGTTAGAGTTGGTCGAGCAAGAATCGGACGTCAGTTGAGATAATTCATAGAGAAGGGAGGTGATCAAATCATTTATCACCTCACAGAGTTTATGAAGTTTTTTCTAGATCTGACAAAGTCGTATGTCAGGTAAGTGATTTTGAAGCAGTTATAGGATTCCATCTGAAGTAGTCGTCGTATGTTGAAGACGTCACCGGGCAATGGATAGCAAGTCTTGTAAGGTGAGAGCTGTAGAGTTCGTATCTACATCAACTTCACGCACCAGTGAGAGTTTCGCTACCTTTTTGACAGAAGAGCTGTCATTATGGTCAACTCGAAGTAGCCATTGCTGTGTATATCATTTGTCTGTGTAAAGTAGAGTTCTTGCCTGCTTTCGACTTGTGGTCATCAGAGAATCCCGAACGAGCCACATGTTTGCAAGGTATTGAAGCTCGTTGCATGAATGGAGGGACTAACACTTTTGTATGATGGCATCGATATTGGACTCAACCTTTCGAAGTTTCCACCTATCATCTGTGCGGGCCCATGCTACAATTTCTCGACGCAGCGGAGAATGGATAAACGGCTCACGATGTTTAGTCTCGTTGCCCCTGATGTCTGTGAAGTGCGAATTGGCAGCCTCATTTATCGCAGTGTTAAATCCTGTTCACGAGTTCAGGTGAAGTCAATAAATATACACGTGCTGTTCTGTGGTGGATGCCGCATTTTCTTCCTGCACGCCAGCTTTAGTTGTTCCAGTGCAGGTGGATACGAAAGCACTTTCCTGGAGGGAGATCACTGGTTTCCTGAGCATATCCTTCCCCATCAATAGCTCTTCTGCTTTCTGAAGGAGCGACAAAGGCGAGTCAAGTCCCTTTATCGTGGCTAATGTCCAAAGTCTAATGGTTAATGTCCTCAGTTTTCTTCATCGTCTTGCCTGGATGACGGCAGCCCTAGTACAAATGGAATCAGCAGACGAGCTTAGCTGACCTACACCACCGCACCAGAATGCGAAGAGTAACAGTACAAAATGTTCACCACCAACATGCTGTATTGTAACAATTTTCAGCAGTGGTTCCTCTTGTAGTTCTCATAAGGAACCAGGAACCAAGAACTTCAACTGTGTATTCTCTCGAACGTTTGATCCATGTTCAAGTTTCACTGCAAGCATGGATGGAAGAACGGAGGAAGCAAAGGATCCCGGGCGAGCAAACCCGTGAAACAAGCATGCTGGCATCGAACAAGGACACCATGAGGCGAAGAACGATCGAGTCGAGGAAGGTTGCGCTGATCCAGAGCATAGTTATTTTTTTGCCATCCACAAAATGTAGATTCTAAGGGAATCCTTAGCGAAACAGATGCAAGGTCTCATCCAGCTACTAAATGCGAAGAGTGAATTGTCGACAAGTGTAACCAATCCAGGTTCTCTCTCTCTCTCGGAAGCCTCACCAAAAAAAAGAGAGAAGCTCATGTCAGATTCTCCAGACCACTTCACAAGAAACCCAGAACAGGCAGCCTGATCAGAAAATCCGGGTTGACTGATGGTTTGCAGGTCAACGTGAAAACAAACGTGGGTCCAGTCCCGTAAATACGAGATGGCATGAAGAAAAGAATGTACTCAAGTCGATTAAGTAAAATACACTGCCATGAATTTCCTTAGACGAGAGGAGTTTTCTTTGTACAAATCCTTTCTCAAGGTGGTGAGTCTACTCACCTCCACTTCGTCTGGGACGTATATGCTACCAAAATCGGAACAGAACGAACACTACAAGACGATAACAAAATCACTTGCAATTATCCTGGCAAATCGTCGGGATGACAGTAACTGATTAATTTGACCGAGTGTTCTTTCTCTCCATGCATACCACTATTAGTAGGTATCCGACTGCTCGAGACTCAACCTCTGTGGTCTTCGAAGACGTCGGGCCAGAAGAAGCCAGACGAAGGCAGGAGGTACTACCTCCCCTGGAAAACCTCCGTGCTACTTCCAACGGAAGTGGTCTACGAAACAATCTTTACGACTATCCACCGCAATGTGTATAGGAGAGAGAAGAGTACAAAGCAAGGAAGATCGTAGGTCATAATATGTCATATCACTGTGGATGGGATAGGGAGATACAGTAGGACTGAGAGCTCGAAGAAAAGCGTCTGGGCTCAGGGCTTTGTCTCCACTTTTCTCCATACGGCCGATATCTGCGAAACCTTAAAAGTGCTCCTTGCAATCTTTCAGCATTTGCATTTTGGAGGACTGGTTGCGCGCGATCAGCCTAGAGTCCTGAACCAAAGGAATATTCTGTTGGACATTCCACGAGCTAATCGGGCCAGGAAAAAGCTCTAAGCATTTGATTGTTTCTACGCAATGATCAGGCTTACCTTTTCTGCACTCGGCAAGTACTGAAGGAGACCTTTCTTCGATTCGGTCGTCATCGTCTGACGGTGAAGTCAGAGTTCCTCAAATGCTCCAAACTTCCGAATACTATACGACCGAGGGCGAGAGCATCGAGCAAAAAATAATTCTTATTCGCTTTCTTCTGACATGCTTTTGCGTTTCGTGACGAAGAATGTGATGGCTACATGACTTTGTGACATTGACACGTGAAACATGAGCCCAATCATCTGCACAGGATTAAAGAAAATGCAGTCGGTCGATTCGAAAGACATTCTGATCCTAAATCTATAATGAGTTAGGTCAGTGGCGCTCGTCAACACCGGGGCATATTGAGAAAGTACAGAGCTCCCATAGGTACAGATGGCGCCAAGTCCTGGTTTTCGGCAGGAGGTTCAATTTCCCCCTGCTCAAATGTCGATTTCAGGACTGCATGAAGACAAGGGAAGGAGAAGAAGATAGAATCCATCGTCTTTCCGAAGAACTGTATGAGACACGACGGACCCACTGGGACGAAATGCAAAATCCGAGCGCAAAACGCTTCCGAAAATACGTCACATTCGAGAGAGGCGAGACTGCTGCTTTATGCCACCGTCATCACAATGTCTTTGTTGAAGGGCCACACTCCGTACACCCGACGACTGATAACTTACACAAGGCATCATCGACGAGACATGCAGAAATGGAGAAATCAGAAATCAATGTCATTTTCGGGCGAATACACGAGTTTTGTCCCAAGTGCCTACATCACTACAGACGATTCCCACAGCATACTATAAATATATGTCCAACTGAGGAAACATTTGGTTAAAGGATGGCTCATGAAACTGTAGAATCTCTGTCGATACACGCCATGTAAAAACAAAAGCTTCGCCTCGATCGATCTCTCTCAGTCACCGGGGGAATGCCTCAGCATGCTATCTGCATCTCATTCCTCTACTTTACTCATTCGCTTTCAAAATATCACATTAAAAAGACAAAAGCTCGACAACCCTAGTGCCTTTCCAAACGGTGCGACCACAACCATCATAATCAGGATCGCCTCCCACCTTGCATCCCCACTTCCTGCTCCTCCTCCTCCTCCTCCTCGTGCTCGTGAGTGGGCCCTCCGACCACCACTAGGGTTTCAACCTCTTCTCTTCTTTTGAGAGACTTCCGTAATCCGATAAACATGAAAATTCAGCGGTGAAAGCACGGAAACAGCAGCTCTGGCACCTTACCAACATTCCCACTGACCGCAACACCCGTCCGTTCTTGCGAGAAGCCACCACTGCATGAATTCCGTGCGTATTTTCGACTCAATATTGTATTATTTCGTATCTTGGCTTCTCCATCTGATCTCTGTCCCGCCGGGGGGAAATTCCGATGATTCTCAACCACCGTGAACAGAAAGTGGTTCCACCGTAGAGAATTGCTCGACGATTTCATGAGCCGTCAGGCTGCTGCTTGCTCATCGTCTCGTTCCCAGGCAACGAGACGATGAGAACCACCGCTTCGTCCAGAGAATCCAATGCATTGCCACGCAGAAAGTGAGACTCGACGACATTGCGAGTGCTGTAGAATTCAGCCTTTTCTCCCTTTCCGCTTTTCTCCAAAGCACAAATCCTCACATCCAAGTCCACAACTCGGAGCCATTTCCATTTCTATTTCCTCTCGACCGCACCCGTCCGTCCGATTCCACTCACTCAGTGCACCAAACACTCTACGCTCATCTCGACGACAAACAGACAGACAGATGAACCGATTCCGCCTCACGTCCAATTCTACTCTCGGTGTCTGCAAATCTACGCCTCCAATTCACAAACCGATCTGCGCGCCGATGGAACTGAGCAAGGCATCCAATTCCAATTTCGCCCCTGATTGTGGTCGTTCAACGCCAGCAGCCATCTTCAATATGGAGTACTCTCCATAGCGCAACTCAAGCTGACATGACTGAAATTGATCCTTCTGCTCCACATGTAGAAGACGGCCATGAATGCCACAACGGAGCCCTCAAGGTACAAGATTATATTACAGAAACTTTATATAACAAAATGCTAGATTTCTAATAGTATAATTATTTTTTGTTAATTGGCCCCGGAGCCCTCAAGATACAAGATTATATTACAGAAACTTTATATAACAAATTGCTAGATTTCTAATAGTATGAATATATTTTGTAAATTGGCCCCGGAGCCCTCAAGATACAAGATTATATCACAAGAACTTTATATGACAAAATGCTAAATTTCTAATAGTATAAAAAAAATTTGTAAATCGGCCCCGGAGCCCTCAAGATACAAGATTATATTACACGAACTTTATGTAACGAAATCCTAGATTTCTAATATTATAATTTTTCTGTAAATTGGCCCTTATGCTGATTTAGCTATTTTGACTCTGCAGTTGTTTTGGCGCTGTTTCATGGTTTTTATTTGTTTTGATCATTTGGATGTTTCAACGCTTTGATTCTCTGATTTGATTTGGTGTTACTGGAGAGGCATAAAGATAACTCGCGTTATGATTTTCAGCTAAGTAGATGTGAAACTGAATGAAAAGAATCCACGAACAACGTAAGCTTGTGATGTTACATTAACATAAGGTGATTGTTCTATTGTTTATATTAGATGTTAATGTAGATACATTTTATTAAATAGAATACTCAATTCGTTTGGAGAAAATCATCACTGCGGTGACAGGAGCAGTGGGATTTAAACATATAAATGCGGTTGGTCATAAAAATAAGTCTTACGTTAAATAAAGAGGAAAAATCTTTTTCAATTTTCCTTTCGTCCTTTCGTCAAATTATGAGAAGACAAGGGGTTTTTGAAAACAAGGCAAATCACTGAATTTGAGGACTAAATACATAGAATTTTTCTTTTTCTTTTTACTTTTTGCAAATGGCCATGTAAAAAAGTTGGGTTCAAATCATATAAAAAAAAATATAAGTTCTATGATTTAGGTTTTTCAAGGTATCAGCCTACTTTTATTTTTGAACTTTTTGCAACAGGAAGAAAGTATTTTGGGTTTCAAGCGCCGGTTTTTACAACTTTTTGCAACGAGCAAAAGGTTTCTCAAACTACATATGACATATTTTACTCATAATTTAACGATTTGAAATATGTACATAAGATCGTAATGTGGACTACTTATGAGCTGAACCTATTACTAATTTTCTGATCTCAAAGAAGTATGTAGACCTCATAAACATACTTCAAACATAGTAACAGTACATGTATTGTTCTTTATGTCTGATTCGAAAGCTCCACGTATAGTTAAAAGAATTTAAAGAATGCTATTAAAGAACCATTTGTTAGATTCATTCTTCTAGAGTTTGTCAAAGAGTACAGGTTTGCACCTTCTACTTGCGTATTCCCTCTTTAGGAGTAAGTACCTTTTGAAGACGTCTTAGCTCAAACTTTAAGAGTATCAGACAGTTTTGTAGCGCATCCGTCATCATGTAAGTAGCAGGAGCTATTTTCTCTGATCTCATTATTCAATGAAATATCAAAAGGTAACAAATTTTACGCTCTTAGCCGGCGTCTGAAACTTTATCTTTGTTCCTATGATTATCATTATTTTCAGACAGTTTTGTAGGCCCATCCGTCATCATGTAAGTAGCAGGAGCTATTTTCTCTAATCTCATTATTCAGTGAAAGATCAAAAGGTAACACATTTTACTCTCTTAGCCAACGTCTGAAACTTTATCTTTGTTCCTATGATTATCATTATTTTCAGACAGTTTGGTAGGCCCATCCGTCATCATGTAAGTAGCAGGAGCTATTTTTTCTAATCTCATTATTCAGTGAAAGATCAAAAGGTAACAAATTTTACTCTCTTAGCGGGCGTCTGAAACTTTATCTATGTTCCTATGATTATCTTTGTTTTCATTCAACTCCATACGTAGGATCGTAATGTGTACTACTTATGAGTAGAACCTATTACTAATTTTTTGATCTCAAAGGAGTATGTAGACCTTCAAACATAGGGAATAGTTTATGTATTGTTCCCTATGTTTGATTCGAAAGTGCCAAGTATAGTTAAAAGAACTTAAAAAATGATCTTAAAGAACCATTTGTTAGATTCATTCTTGTACAATTTGTCAAAGAGTACATGTTTGCATCTGAGATATGGTAGAGTTAGTTTTTTTTTGAAGAGAAAATGATCTGTTTATTTTGATTGATGAGACTCACTGAGTACCGCCAAATGAATACATTGCTTACTAGAAAATCATCTTCAAAATTGGAGGGCATTTCATTCTTTCATTGTGATGTTTTCAAACGTAGTCTAGTCTCATTCATCAAGTGGATAGTGTCTTCTAATCCTGAATCTTGACACTTTCTCTATCTTTTGAAAAAAAACCTGACGCTTGTATTTTCTTTGTTTTGCATGTTTTGTTCCCACAAAACATTCAAAAGAAAAGTCGAGTTCGTCACTCTCAATGTTGTTAACATCTCTTACATCAAAGCATCAGAGTACAGAGGATCTGTTTGTGGTCACGTTGGAGCGCGATCCAGGTCTGAGACCAACCATTCCATCCTACCCAACCTCTCAAAGGTATAGAATTCAGAAAACTTACATATCTAAAGAGTCATTTCAACCACAACTATCGAAATATCCTTTTGTAAAACAAGCTGATAGATTTTGTCATTTTTGTTTTCAATGGTTTGCTTTGCATCCTTAGCTTGAATACAGCTTTCCAAAGGATGTTGTGTATTACTTTCCTTGTTATTTGTTTGCACAGGATACGCAAGCTTCAAGACAATTTGTCAGTGAAGGTGTTGCAAGCTAGAACAAAATTACTGCATAAGACTGTAAATTGGCAAATCATGTTGGTAAACACACTTCAGCTCACTTTTTGCACTTCATTGCTTGGTAATCATTACCAAACCAGCGTTTTTGAATTGAAGCCACACTAGATCGTCAATCTCGACAACCAAAAGCTGATCACAGACTTCACTTGACAGCATCTATCAAAACACTGCGATTTTTGGCTCATCAAGGTCTTGCTTTTTGTGGTCATGATGAGTCTAAGCAATCATTCAATAGTGGAAAATTTCTTGAGCTACTTACTCTTCTCAATCAGCATTCTACAAATTATCAATGTGTTTGACTTGATCGTGCATTGAAGAATGTGACGATGACATCTTCAGACATCTAGAATGACATACTAACGGTCATGGCTTCATGTGTAAGTGAACATATTGTGAAGCAAATCAATGATAGCTTTTTTTGTTTGCTGATTGATGAGGCTCAAGATGAATCAACAAAGAAGCAGATGTCTTTGGTTCTAAGGTTTTTTGACAGTTTTGGAGTAATTCAGAAGAGGTTTTGGATATGATACATGTTGCTAATACATGTTCAAAATTGCTAATGGTTGCCATTGTTTTCACTTTGAGCCGACACAGTCTTTAGTTTTCCCGTCTACGAGATTGAGGATATGATGGAGCATCTAATATGCGTGAAGACATTAATAGATTGAAGACTATGATCCAAAGAGAAGTACCCTCATCATACTATGTTCATTGTTTTGCGCATCGACTTCAACTTGTTTTGATATCAGCAGCTAAGAATCATGTCAAAGTTTGCCGGTTCTTTGTTGAATTGTCATCATTATGTGTCACCGTAGGTGTTTCTTGTAAACGTGCGGATCAGTTTCAAGAATTGCAAGCAGCTAACATCCGTGATGCAATGGTTGGCGAAGAAATGAAAACATTTGCGTTCAATTAAATCAAGATCTAATCATTCCGGCGGCCGTAAGAGACAAGATGGAGAACTCATTTTATTTCTATTTGTCGAGTGCTTGATCTGTATGATTCAGGTGTCAAAGTTCTTGAAATTACTGTGAAAGATTTGAAAGCAGAAGCGTCAAGATTGTTGGAAGTGATATGTTGCTTTGACTTTAATCTAATGTTACACATAATGAAGGCGGTTTTAAGCAAGTCTGCAGTTCTTTCGGAAGCTTTACAACATAAGGACCAAAACATCCTTAACGCTATGAACCTTGTTGTTGTTTCAAAGTGTGAATTGCAGGAAAGTAGATCAAAAGAAGGATGGAAGACGATATATAAAGCGGTTCAATCTTTTTGTCTCGCAAAAAACATTGTTGCCCTTGATATGGAATCAAGTTATGTGCTTATGGGACGTCCTCGTCGCAATGCTGACAGCATAACCTGTGATCATTATTATCGTGTAGAGATCTTCTTCAACATCGTAGATTTAGAATTAAGTGAGCTTGATTACCGTTTTCCTGAAAAATCGTCTACATTGCTCACACGAATTGCCTATTTATACCCAGATTACCTTTGCATTCATAGGAAATGTCTCAGAGCTAGTTGAATTGGGGCGGATGTATCCACATTTGAGCATGATTTAGCGTAGTGTTGAGATTAAACGAAGCTTTTTTGGAAATTCAATCTCTTTTTGCTTTAGCTATAAAGATGTTTGAACTCAAGAAGTTTATTACTTATCATCTTGTTTTTCAATTAATCAGTTTGGTTTTAACTTTACCTGTCAGCACTATGTCAACATAACGTTTTGTTCTCAGCATTGAAGATTGTGAAAATGCGGTTGAGGAGCAAAATGGAAGATGAAGACCTTGCTGATGCTATTAGTTTGTTTGTTGAAAGAGATTTAGCACAAGTAATCATCACCGACGTTATTATCGAGAAATTTTAGACGCAGAGCACTAGACGTTTGCAATTGGATTAATACATTGAATTCGGTTTTTTACAATTTGGATTTTCTGTTTTGAATTTTCTGTCATGAGTGACATGAGTTTTAGTTTTAACACAGTGCAGTTGGATTGATACTTTGAATTCAGATTTTATAACAATTTGGATTTTTTGACATGAGTGATTTGAGTTTTAGTATAATTACAATGCAGCTAGATTGATACATTGAATTCGGATTTTTTTTCAGTTTGGATTTTCAGTTTTGAATTCTCTATCATGAATGAAAGTAGTTTTGCTTGTAACACAGTGAAGTTTTATTAATACACATAATTCGGTATTTTTAACAATTTAGATTTACTTTTTTGACTTTTTTTATGGGCTACAGGACTTTTAGATTTAACAAAGTGCAGTTGGATTTATATAGAGAATTTGGTATTTTTACCGTGTGGATTTACTTTTTTGAATTCTCTATGGTGAAGTTTTGGTTTTAATACAAATCTGTAACAGAATTAGCCAAAAAAAATTTCGCCTACGGCGCTACCTACCAGGCTGCAGCCCCTCTTGAAAAATCCTAGCTCTACCCCTATTTATGGTTGAGTAGAAATCAAACTCTATTTTCAAATGTTTTAGTACATGGCATAGTCAAGAATACAGTAGATAAAACAATTTTTTTAGTGGAAAGAATCTCAATAGATACCTCCACCTAGAGAATGATTAGAAATGTCTTCTTCGATAACTACCAGAATCAAAAAGTGGCTAAATAACTATCTTGAACATAATGCTCATCTAGAAGTAAGATAGGAAGTCCTACAGACAAAGGGGGCAGCAACCAGACTGGATCCTTCTCTTCTCTCTCCTACGAGCGTTGAAGACATGTGAATACTCTGATCTCAACCTGTCACAGATACAACTTGAGCAACTACTTTGAGTTTGGGTACAAGATCCTTGCTCTCTGGCGGATATTTTGTTGCTCCTTGTTGTTTTTGTGTTCATGTTGTGGACCTCGAGCTCCTGTGCGCTTGGAGATAGGCAGTGTCTCTTGTGTCCTGTAGTTTGCTGGTTGGTATGCGTTTGGCCGTTGTAGCGCTCCAACTCTGGAGTCACTTATCTTCTGCTTGTTCATTGGTGGATGGCTAGTGTCGGGTTGGATTGTCTCCTGCTTTTTTGCGCTCTTGTGCCTGAATACATGAAGTCATGCAAACATCTGCAATTATCACCAAGATATTTGAAAGACAAGAAGTTACGATAATCACATGTAAGACCGGGTCTAAAGCTACAATAACTTTTAGTTATATATGCTACGAAATGAATTGCAAGATTCAACGCAAAAAAAGTTCAAAGTTATGATTATTCTTTTAGCTACTTAATATGAAAATTCCATTTAACTTTTAATTAATTATAGTTATGGAGATAAGCTTGATGTTTAGGTTCTGTTATAACAAGGCACAAAAAATCACATGATTTTAATGCTTTGCATTTGACTTAATATTGCTCTTGCTTTGGGCATAATTAGCATATACATCAAAATCAAAGAAAATGCGTTAAAAAGTTATGTCTTAAATATTGTATAAGATACATTGAATTTATAAGATTTTTTTATGTTAGATTTTATACAGCGTAATCATTGATTTGCAATGTAGATACTGATTATGAGCAATAACTTAAAGAATAGTAAAGATACTTACAATCGATATGTGTTTAAACGTGGAAATTATGCCTAAACTAGAGTTCTAAATTAAACATTATATGGCTTAATATACAACACAACCTTACTATATAGCAAAATAAACAACAGAAATAAGAATCAATAAGATATATGTGATGATAAAATATCTCCTGTTTATGTTTCTACCAATGTGATTCCTTTATAAGCCTTCTGAAAATATTAAAACAGATTGCAAATTTTGCATATGGATACAAGTATGATATTTTCATAACTATGCTATCATCAAAATTCAGTTTCAATTTATCTTGTTTTTGCTAAGGCTTAGTAAGTATTAGTTCATATTACAAAGTAAGGTATAATCAGTTTTTTTTGTAGGTTTTTGAGCAACATTATCACAGAGATTGTAGTATCAACGACACGAATCAATGAATATTTTGTTAGGAGTTTAATAATCTTTTGGTTAAATCTAATGAGTTTGATTATGGTCTTTAGACTAGTTAGCTATAGTTTATCTACGAAAGCCAGCAGATAAATTTTTTCTGACACATTTGATTTAAGTAATGAGATCTTGTATTCCTGTTAAGATAACGCTAAATGGATGTTGTGCTTATGTGTGTTGATTATGTTGGATGATTAGGAATGAATAAAGGTTTACATTTCATAAGTCAAGTATGAATATTGAAAAATAAATATCATAAAATTTATTATATATATGCATGGATATTAGATGCATCTCAATATTGATAATGATATATGAAATAACTAGTATATTTTTAGATTTAGTTCAAAAGATAGATAAAATCATAAGTGAGTTTTGCACATGCGGCTTCTACAACAGATCACATCCAAATACATAAGAAGTTTTAGGATAAAATGAATAGAAAGCCTTCCCTAGGACACAAGGTACAACTCATAGGAGCCAGCCGTTTGATTTATTTTGACATCAATTTTTCATGGTATTCTACTCAAAAAAAATTTCAATTTCAAAGCATGATTTGAGCAGAACTTCAAATCATGTTTTGGTATTGAAACTAAGTGTTCACTTTTAGAATGAATGTATGAAGATTTTTTAGTAAAAGATGTAGACGAATGAAGATTAAAGTGACACTTTTATTCTTCCTATTTCCCCTGAAAATTTTTTTGAATATAAAGAAAGGAGGCAGTTGGGTAAGTTCGTTTGATTTGAACATTCAAATTGTATATAAAACACACTTGGAG